AAAGATGGCAGCTCTGTTAGTCACTCAGTGTGTCTTCTTTGGCAGCAGTTTTTCCTGTACTTGACCAACTATATGCTTACAATGAATATGTTTTACAGTGTATAAATTTTGCCACAATTTAAAAAATTAATTGCTTATCATGAAGCCTGACATAAATTACAGATATGTAGAAGAGACTATTTTTCATGGAATTAAGAATATTAAAAATAAAACTATAGAAACCCCTGGAAATGTCCGCACCTTATTCATAAGGGCTTCCTCCAGGTCAGAGTGAGAACCAGCAGCCTGCTTGCCTATTATTGAGGAAGGCTCCAGTTCTTGGAAGACCTGAGGTTTGTGGCAGGGCACATAGATTATGACATGGGGACCTTCACATTACTCTCAAAAGAGAGATGAGAAACAGCCTGGCATTTGGAGTTGGGCAGGTCTAGGCCCAAGTTCTGGCTCTGCCACTTAGCCCTTGTGTTACTGTGTGTGGAAGGTGTTTCTCAGAGCTTCAGTTTCCTTCTCTGAAAGGTAGTCCCTCTGCACAGGGGCAATGCGAGACTCAAATGTGATAATGAATGCCAAAGCCCTTTGGCTATTGCCCTATACAGAGACTTGCACTAACATAATTTAAAATAGTTTAAAAATGTAATATGACTAGAATTTCTGTTTGAAAATGGATCTGCAGAAACATGTACAAGGTAAGCCTGGAGGAATGTCAGGGAGCTGTTTTTATTGAGTTGGTAGAGTATGGCTATTTATCAAATTTTGGAAATCTATATGAGTAAACAAACATGAAGGTCTGCCTTACAGACAACCACAGTAATAACAAAAATTGAATTTTTTGGGGGGGAAGTGGGGCACTCTGCACTGTTCATGGAACCTTAGTTCCCTGATCAGGGGTTGAATCCTTGCCTTCCACAGCAAAAACGCAAAGCCCTAACTACTGGACCATCACGGATTTCCCTGAATCTTTATCGTTTAAAGTTGCATAAGAAACCTTCATCTATCAGGGGAAAAAAAATGAGTGAAATAAATATGAAACAAAATATGAGAAATAAGTACTATAATTTAAAATTAATAAAAGTATGAATAGATTTACATCACCAGTTAGAGTCTCACAGTGGGTTTTTCAAAAAGTTTAAATGATATCATAAAAGAAACGTGCGCAAAAGAAACACCCTATTGCGTTACAAGGAAGATACTCCAAAAAAGGGAAGAAAATTCCCTATGAGCAGTTTACAGTTTAAGAAGAATTTAAGAACACGAATCCAGTAAAGCAGTAGCACAAATTTAAGACTATGAAATAATCAGAATGATGTTGAAACAGGTTTTGAGCTAAAAGCAGAGGCATAAATCAACACCTATGTGATCTCAATAAATAGAGGAAGCGTAACTGAAAATTGCATTAGTAGTATTAAGGAAAGGCCTGAGATGACTGTGTGTCAATGTGCAGGAGAGAAGGATGGGTGTGGAGAATAGAAAATGATCATTTGTTCTAAGGATAATTGCTATCCATGACTTAGGAACTGAATAAGTGAAATGAAATCAATGCATTCAAATATGTAAGAAAATAAATTTGTTCAAAGTTCTAACTGAATTTGTTGATCCCAAGACATATGTTTTCCAGTAACAGTTTTTATATGGGTATAGATGTTATGTCTTCAGTTCTCCTGGGTATATGCTTAGTAGTCTCTGTTTAATTTTTTCTTGAACTGCTAGCTGTTTTCCAAAGTAACTGTGTCATTTCACATTCAGCAGCATCTGCATGAAGGACTTCCCAGGTGGTGCAGTGGCAGAGTCCACCTGTCAGGGCAGGAGACATAGGAGGTGTGCATTCGATCCCGGGGGTCCGGAAGATCCCCTGGAAGAGGAAATGGCAACCCACTCCAGTTGTCTTGCCTGGAGAATCCCATGGACAGAGGAGCCTGGTGGGCTACAGTCCGTGGGGGTCACAAAGAGTCAGATGATTGAGCATGCAGCACATGCACATGAGTATATGCAAGGTTCCAGCTTTTACATGTCCTTGCCAACATTTATCTGTCGTTTTTATTATAGTCATGCTGTGGGTGTGATGGAGAAGGAAATAGCAACTCACTCCAGTATTCTTGTCTAGAAAATCCTATGGCCGGTGGAGCCTGGTGGGCTATAGTCCGTGGGGTTGCAAAGAGTCAGACATGACTGAAGTGACTTACTTAGCATGCACACACGCACAGGGGATGTGAAGTACAATCTCGTGGTTTTAATTTCTTTTCTCTGGTGACTAATGATGTTGAGCATCTTTTTATGCACTTATTAGCCATTTGCTTGTCATCTTTGGATAAATACCTATTCATATCCTTTGTTCTTTTTAAAATTGGGTTGTCTTAATAGTATTCAGTTGTGAAAGTTCTTTTAATATTCTAGATTCAAGTTTCTCATCAGATATTTGATTTGCCATTTTCTACCGTCTATGGATTGCCTTTTCACTTTCTTGCTGTAGAATCCTTTGAAACCCCAAAGTTGTAGATTTTGATAATTTCTTTTTTTTTCCATTTATTTTTATTAGTTGGAGGCTAATTACTTTACAATATTGTAGTGGTTTTTGTCATACATTGACATGAATCAGCCATGGATTTATGTTTATCAGTTTTTCTCTCTGGTTGCTCATTCTTTTGATGTCATAGTTATATAACTACTGCCTAATCCAAGGTTGGAAATGTTTACTCCTACATTTTAAGAGCTTTGGACTTTTACCATTTATATTTTGGTCTTTGATCCAAGTTCATTCTTGTGTGGTGTTTTTTTTTTTTTGGATGTGGACCATTTTAAAAGTCTTTGTTACAATATTGCTTCTGTTGTTTATGTTTTGAATTTTTTGCCATGCAGCATGTGGGATCTTAGCTTCCCCACAAGGGATCAAACCCCTGCCTTCTGCATTGGAAGGCAAAGTCTTAACCACTGGATCACCAACTTCATTCTTTTCTGTGTGATTATCTAGTTTTCTCAGTTTTTGTTGAAAGATTATTCCTTTCTCATTGAATTGTCTTGGCACCTTTGTCAAATTTTATTTGATCATAAATGTAAAGGTTTATTTCTATACTCTCCGTTCCTTTCCATTGATCTATTTGTCTATGTTTATACTGGTACCATATTGTTTCAGTTACTATATGTTTATAGTAAGTTTTGCATTCAGAAAGTATGAATCCTCCAACTGTGTTCTCTTTTTTCAACATTAGTTTTGCTGTTCTGGGCCATTTGCATTTCCATATCAATTTTAGGGTCAACTTATTCATTTTAGTAAAAAAAAAAACAGCTGGAATTTTAATAGAGGTTGCATTGATATGTAAATGAATTCAGGAAGTTGCGATCTTAAAACAGTATTAAGTTTTCCAGTCCATGAGCACAGATGGCTTTCCATATATTTAGGTGTCCTTTTTAAATTATTTTTTAAAATACTTTGTAGTTTTTCAGTAGATATTTTATACTTTTTTGTTCAACTTATTCCTTTTATATTATTTTAATGCTATTATTAATAGAATTGTTTTCTTAACTTCATTTCCAATTGTTTGTTGTGATTGTATAGAAACAAAGTGGATTTTTGAATAGTGATCTTATATCTTGTAATTTTGCTGAACTTATTTAATAATAGTCCTAATGTTGTTTTGTGAATTTCTTAGTATTTTCCACATACAAGATTTTTATCTCAAGTAGAAATACTTTTACTATTTTATATATAGTAACGCCTGTCTCTTAACCCTGTGTCCCTATTGCGTCCCTTCCATCTTCCCTCTCCTCTTTGGTAACTACAAGTTGCTGTATCTGTGAGTCTGTTGCTGTTTTGCATATACACTCATTTGTATTTTTTTTAGATTCTACATATAAGTCATATACAGTATTTGTCTTTCTCTGTCTGACTTACTTCACTAAGCATAATATTTTCTAGGTCCCTCCACTGCTGCAAATGGCAGTATTTTATTTTAGTATCTGAGTAATATGCCGGGGAGGGTGTGTGTGTGTACATACACATACACCACATCTTCTTATGCCAGTTGTTGGCTGATGGGCACATGGGTTGCTTCCATTACTTAGCTGTTATAAACAGGGCTCTGTGAAAGTTGGAGTGTATATGTCTTTTCAAATTAGCATTTTCATTTTTCCATGTATCCAGGAGTGGAATTGCTCGATCATAATAGTAGTTTCGTTTTTTTAGTTTTTTGAGAAACCTCCATACTGTTTTCACAGTGGCTGCACCAATTTATATCCCCATCAGTAGTGTATGAGCCCTTCCTTTCTCCACATCCTTGCCAGCACTTATTTGTGTTTTTTAATGATGGCCTTTCTGACTGGTGTGAAGTGATGTCTCATTTTGGTTTTGATTTGCATTTCCCTGGTGATTAATGAAGTTGAGCATCATTTTGTGTGCTTATGAGCCATCTGTGCATCTTCTTTGGAAAAAGTGTGTATTCAAATCTTCTGCTTATTTTTTAATTAGAGTTTTTGTTTAAAAAATATTGTTATTTCTGAGGAAGCAGTTCATCATCTTTGATTCTCAGTGTCTTTATAAGATTATTTGATTTCTAAAATCTACAATTCGTGTCAGCAATATACTATTGCTGAAAAGTGATGCAAATAAATTAAGAATTTTTTGAACACTAAATAATTAAATATTTAATATTGAATATTAAAATAAGAAAAGAACTTGTACACTTCTAGGCCTTCAGCCCAGTTACCCTTGGATTTCCTAAAAATATTTAAATGAGAGAAGAGTTTAAAGAATTTATTATTAAATTCCCTAATTGGTTTCATTGTTGACTAAGATTTATAAGTAACAGTCATGGGACTTAGTTCATATTTTTATTTAGATGTTTCTGATATCACTTCTCAGCCTTTTGGCTAAGATCAAGTGTAGATGTTTCTGATATGTTTAGCAATATTTGCTATTTAAGTGTATTAATTTCATTTGCTCTTAGAAAAACTCTTTGTCTGTAGTCTCTGGTAGCACTGATTGAAAATTTTTGCTTTCTATCCACTAGGTATAACTCGGAAAAACCCCAGAACACCTCTTTCTGATCTCCAGGGCATGAATACTCTAAATGAAAAAAACCAACAGTAAGTATGTTTGGTTTATGTTTTCAAGGAAGTACAGAAGAAATAGCTCAAATTCTTAGTAATAATACTTCTGGGGCTTAAAAAATATGAAGAAAATCAGACCTTTTAAAAAACCTTCTTAAAACTTTTTGTAAAGGGTGTAATAAGGTTAGAGTTAACAATAGAGTATATTATCTAAGGTTGCTTCTGGTAAAATGGTTGTACAATTAAAAAAAGTTTTCCCAGAATGATTAAAAATGAGTTCATATGTTTTCATTTCTGAGACTTTTCAAATGGCATTTTATATCTTTTGCAAAAATAATGGGTTTTCTGCTTCTTTCCATGGAGAAATCTTACTGGTAAGTAATAACTGAGTAATTTGATTTATATCAAACCATCTGAAATGTTTTCTTTTTCTTTTCTTTAAACTTTTGCCATATTTAAATACTCCAATACCTTTTCTTGATGAATGTGGTAACCACAGCTTACCTTTTACCATTTTCAATGAAGAATTCTTGAGTAAAATTTGAAAGTAACAAGTACAAGTAATTTTCTGAGTTTGTAAATAAAACTCCTATTTCCTTTGCACTTACTATTTTATTAAGATTGTACTTTAAATGAGCAAAGAACATTGTTTAGTATCTAAAGTTTTCTGTGTACATTTTGAACATCAAGAGAATTGAGCTTCTTAGTGCCCTGGTAAGACACTAAAATTAGTATGATCTATGTAGAATTTAGAATTATGGTTTAACTTCATTGATCAGGTTTTCCATTTTGAGTTACTATGTCTTTCTAATGTATATTGTCACTTCTTTGCTCTACAACTTTTTTACAACTCTTTATTGCTTATTACAAGAAGTCTTGGTTCGCTGTTTTAACCTACAAGAACTTTCACAGCCCAAGTATCCAGCCTTAACTCTACTTATCTTTAATGCCAGCAAATTGAATGACTGAATGACTTACTATCTTTGAAGTGTATGTATGACAGTTGGCTGCTGACAAAAATCACGATTATATGTGCATGTTAGATTTTACTTAAGAACAAATGAAATCATTCATCTGGTGATCCTGTGTACCTTTATTTCAGTATAGTGGTAGTGTTCTTACCCTGGTCATTAGAGATCCCTAACTTAAGGATCTCATTTTTTTTTTATTTGTGTAAAAAAAGGAATTGTGACTTTTTGCATTTCCCAAAGCAATTTAATTGTTATAAATTTCCTAATTCCTAATTTGTGGACTTTCTTTATTTTTTTGGCTACTGTGTGTGGCTTGTGGGACCTTGATTCCCCGACCAGGGACTGAACCTGGGCCACCACAGTGAAAGTGCCGTATCCTAACCACTGGACCACCAGGGAATTCCCAAGTTTGTGTTTCTTTGTACTGCTTTCAATTTTGGATGTCTGAGGTGATCTGTATGGGCTTCTGTTTTTATCCATTAGTTGAAATAGTCTGATATTTTGGTTTAAGATTAATTAGTCTGGGTTCAAGCAGCTAACTGAATTTAGGGACTCATGGAAAGACAATCTAATTTCGTAAAAATGTGTGTATAAGCTCATTTATGAGACCCTTCTTCACAGAGAAATTGATCACACTAGCTTGATTCTTTTCCTTTGCATACAATAAAGAAAGATATTTGGCACTGAAGTAATGTTATCAGGATAAGGCAAGCTAGCAGGCCTTAACAGGAGATCCTTCCAGCTCATATTTGTTGTATTGTTGAGTTTATTTTAGACATATTTGAGAGAAAATTGGTGAGCAGATGGAAAGGATAGAAAAATAGATACTTAGAAAATCAAATGAGTCATGAAATGATTAGCTTGTGTATACTGAGTAGAGGTTTTTGGATCTTACCTATGGAATATTCCTAATTAGTGAGTTGTAAATGAGAGAGTAGAACAACCAATTTTGTGGTGATCTAGGACTAAGAATTGAGGTAGTCTTTGTAAAACAAGGAAATACGAATATAAGTCTGTTTTTAGCTGTGTACATTTTCCTTGAGTGAGAGATAAAGGCTTCATTACCCTCCCACTAGTAATGGATAAAGGTTCCAATTTCTCCACATCCTTGTTGTTTTGTTATTGCCTGTCTTAACGGGATTAAAGTAGTATCTCTGTGTTGTTTTGGTTTGTATTTCCCTAATACCTAATCATGTTTAGCGTCTTTTTATATGCTTATTGCTGATTTGTATATCTTTTTTGATGATACATATATCTTGTTTGAGCAAATGTCTACTTTGCCCATAAAATTTTTCTTGTATGTATTCTTCTTTCCATATGTATAAATATAATTGTCTTAAACAAAACCACACCATGCAGTGATACTTTATTTAAATTTGATAATATATGCAGACAATTTTTTATACCATTAAATAACTATTCTACTACATGATTTTTAATGACCTTATAGACTCCCACTGGTGTGGTTATGACATGATTTCTTCATTTATTTCCAATTGTTGGCTATTTAGGTTGTTTCTAATTTTTTGGTATTGATGAAAATTTTTATAGATAAAGTTTTTCATGTTTGATTATTTTCTGTCATTCTTCACTAGAAACTTGACCAGGAGGATAGACTAAAGCTATTAAAAGATTTTGAAGATATTTTCCTGGCTATCTAAAAAGTGGTATAATTTAAGTAAAGAACTAATGGGAAAATACATATTTTAAGGTTATATTTCATTCTTAAATAGTTTAAAAAATAGTGCAAGGGAAATATAGTTTATAGAGTCCTATGTACTCTTCATTCAGTTTTCCTTAAAAGAATCTTATATAGTAGTAGTACATTATCAAAACCAGGAAAATTACATTGTTTCATTAATATTAACTAGACTATAGTTTTCACCATTTAAAAAAAATCTGTGTTTGTATATATGTAGTTTCTTTGCAATTTTATCTTCCTGGTGGCTCAGTGGTAAAGAATCCACCTGCCAGTGCAGAAAACACGGGTTCAATCCCTGAGTCGGGAAGACCCCCTGGAGAAGGAAATAGCAACCCACTCCAGTATTCTTGCCTGGCAAATCCCGTGACAGAGGAGCCTGGTGGGCTATAGTCCATGGGGTCACAAAGAGTCAGACACAACTTAGTGACTAAACAGCAGCAACATAGATGTGTGTAACCAGCACCACAGTCAGCCTGCAGAACTCTTTTATCATCATAAAAGAATTTATTCATACTGCTTATTTATATTCTTCTTTTTCTTCCATGTCCCTTTCCTGTCTCTAGCAACCACTAACCTGTTCTTCATTTCTATAGTTTTATTGTTTTGATGATGTTATATACATCAAATTTTATGGTATGAAACTGTCCTCTGCCTTCTTAGGTTCAATGGCTATAGGCCTGTAAATTAAACTAATGAAAGACCGTTAACAGGGAAAAAAGCAAACAGTTCTTATTTCTATTTTACGTACATTGAATATCTTCAGAAGTGAAACTCAAAGAAGTGGTTACACTTGGGCTAATATATACTTTTTAAAGGATAGGGATTTTGGACCTGAAACAAAGACAAAAGACATGACAGTATCTTATAATACATTATATTATTTACTGATTGTTAAATGGTACATATAGCTATATGGTGTGCTCATCATGTACTTTTGAATGTGAATGTGGTAAAATCCTAGAAATATTTGGTTCTGAGAGACTAAGAGATTAGCCCAAATTGATCAGTAATCTCTTTGATAAAACCATTTTCTGCTGGTTTAGCATTTTTTCTAAATTTTAACTTCAGTGTTTAAAGCTTTGTTCTACTTTTTTAAGTAAAGTTAAGTTTTAACTTCAGTGTTTAAAGCTTTGTTTTACTTTTAAAAGAAATTTCTGGAATGTTAGGGATGTCTCAATTAAGGAAATTGTCCTATATTTAATTTTTACAGTGAAACATTTGATTTTGCCTGGAATGGCAGAACTGGGATTCGCCAGAGTAAACTATCAAGTAACACCTCCTTGCTTGATAAAGATGGGATATTCGCTAATTCAGCTAGCAGCAAACTCTTGGAGAGAGCCCATGGGATTCTCACGTTAGTATTGATCAACAATATGGCTTGCCTTTTTTATAACTGATTTAAAATTTCTGGCTGAAAAAGAAGAGAGGTAATTGTGAAGCACTATTTTCATGAGTAGAATTTTAAGTGAAACAAGATTGAAAAGTAGTCAGAATTTAGAACTGTGACAGTCTCATGTATTATAAAGCTGGTATTTGTTTTCATCTTACTAGGAGATCATGACTGAATATACTTATGGAGATGATTCTTTATTGCTCTTTAACAGACTCTACATCCAGAGAGAGCAAATACTGTTAGCTTTTTTTTTAGGATTCCTAGTTTTTAACTGCAGTTGCCCTTTAATTCTGGCAGTCTTAACAAGTTGGGCAGGTAAAATCTCTTACAAAATGGTGAATGGGACCACATATAGTTGACCATTCAACAATGCATGAGTTAGAGGTGCCAACCTTCTGCACAATGGAAAATATATGTGTTTCTTATAGTCAGCCCTCCATATCCACTGCTCTTCAGTATCTGTGATTCCACATCCACAGATTCAGCCAATCTCAGATCAAGTAGTACTGTTGTAGTTCATGTTGAAAGAATTCCATGTGTAACTGGACCCTTACAGTCTAAACTCATGTTGTTCAAGGGGCACCTGTATGGTGATACATAATACTTGCCAAAACCTGCTATTTCTCCTTACCTGATACAGAACTGGGTTCAGCATATAGGTATTAACCATGCATGGTGGACCTGTAAAAAGTTCTTACCTACCTATATCAATATATTTAAAACACTTCCAAAGCATATTTTTAAACCATTAGCTAGAAGTGTGACTGGATTATATTTCTTAATCCCTGAATCATCTCTTAACAGTGCTAATAGGCTCAATTTATGTCATGCTACATTTCAGAATTGTGAATAAACTCATTTAATCCTCAAAGCAACTCTGTGAGGTTGATAGTATTATCATTCTTACATTGTCTTACATTATCATTTTTACATGTTTAAAACCATGTTTTACAACTTTAAAACCAAGTTTTAAAGAGATTAAAATCATACCTTGGAAGGTGATAGAACTCAGATTCAACAAGCCCAGGTCTTCCTGATTCCCTAGCCCATGTTCATAAGCACTGGGTTTTATTCCTTTTTTGTAGCCATTAAAAAAAAAAAAAAGGTTTGATCGAAGTGTGATATTGAATTATGAATAAGGAATAAAAGGGCAGAGCAGAATTTTTAGTTTCTGAAAATGGAAGATCATAAGTCTTAGTGAAAAGTACATTTTAATAATTCATGAAATTAGGCATCTTTTTAAGTTTAAAATGACAGAAACAAAGCCTCTGTAGGTTAAGAATGCAGAGCCCTGTTAGGGTCCAAAAGAAAATGAAACTTGAGCTTTGAATCTACATCATGTTACTGATCATCAAGCTCAATCTGTTCGTACCTGTATTATGGAGCAGGCATGTCTTTACTTTGCTTATCCTTCCTTCCCAAAGGTGCCTGCTTAGTTGAATTAGACAGTGTTTCATTTAAAGGACCTATAACTTGGAAGTGGGTATATAATGTTCTTTTTGTAGAGAACTTGAAATTCATCTTTCCGATGTTGTTTTTTTTTTTTTTTTTTCTTTTTTTTCCTTCTAATGTAAGATTTGTCTCTATAGGAGAAACAAAAATTTCAAATCCAAACCTGGGCTTCCAAAGGTAAGTATTATGAAAATATTTTCTCCTTTGTACTTCACTTCATGATTCTTTTTTTTTATTCATGTTCTTTTTTTTTATTCATGCAAACAATCTTTAGAAATCATAAACAAGAAATATCTTATTTGTACCCAAAATACAGATTAATTGTGTATGNTTTTTTTTTTTTTTTCTTTTTTTTCCTTCTAATGTAAGATTTGTCTCTATAGGAGAAACAAAAATTTCAAATCCAAACCTGGGCTTCCAAAGGTAAGTATTATGAAAATATTTTCTCCTTTGTACTTCACTTCATGATTCTTTTTTTTTATTCATGTTCTTTTTTTTTATTCATGCAAACAATCTTTAGAAATCATAAACAAGAAATATCTTATTTGTACCCAAAATACAGATTAATTGTGTATGTTCAGTTAAAACCATTTTAGCAATAATGCTGGATGTTGTTATGAAATGGCAAAGCTTAATGCTGGTAAATATTTGTGATATATCTCACTTCCTAGTGTTTGAAAAGCTTCTGAATATAAATGTAAATTTTTGTGGAGTAATTGCCTCTGCATAGATTTTTTTCATTCCTCTTTAAATCAGGTTAAGGAGACATTCTGAATTTTATCTAATTAAGAAATTTAAAAATTTTATCTGATTTAAAAATAATTTCTGTCATCATCATTAACATTAGTTAGCCTGGTTTTTCTGTAAAGGTCCAGTTAGACTTGGTAGGCTCATCTGGTCTGGGTTATAACTACTTGGCTCTGCTGTCCTAGCACAAATGCAGCTGTAGACAGTATGTGACTGAATGACTGTGACGGTATTCCAATAAAACTTTATCTATGGATACTGAAACTTGAATTTCATATAATTTTTTTCAACCATAGAAATCTTATAAAAACAATGGGCATAATTTGGTCCAGGACTTGTAATTTGCTTACTCTAATCTGCATGCCAAAATGTTTATTAGATTTATTAAAGAACAATCTTAGAGTTTTTCTTTCTCTTGTGCCCTTCCAAAGGAGTCCTGTCATTAACTTTGTTAATGAACATAACTCAAAAATTTTAAAAGAACTGAAAAAGAGCTGTTTATTTTTAAAATTCTCTAGTTTAAGAAACAAGAAAATGAATCTGTAGTTTTTCCTTCTACTTAAGTCGTCTTATATTTCCAAAGAAAATTGAATGCGTTGCTGATGTGGTTTGTGGTAGTGGCAAATGTGTTTTAAACCACAAAGAAAATTTACTGAGTGGTTTGTGATTATGTTCTTATCATGAAAAATTTTATGTAGAGAGGAAAGGAGACCTCTCCTCCTCATTTGTGTTCCTTTTTTTTTTCTTCACTGTCTCATTAGCCTTTTAGAATTTTGAATGCCACCTGTGGATCTAGTGTTTGCCCTGTTCTTTTCATTCTCTTTGGATGGATAACTTATTTTTTTTAATTGAAGTATAGTTGATTTAAAATGTTGTATTAATTTCTGCTATACAGCAAAGTGACTCCTTGTATCTATATACACACTGTTTTGTAACTTCTTAAACTTCATATGATAGTCAACAAGAATATGTTAGATATATCTGAAGTCAATAATTCTATTCAGTTATCAATCACAGGAATCCCATCTATTTCTCAATTTTTTAAAATTAAATATAGCTAATTTTTTGTTTATTTTAGTGTCTTGTGTATTCAAGTACATATATTTAGTATTAGAGAGGCAACATAGTCTATGAGAGTATAGACCTTGGAGTAAAACTGACCTACATTCAAATGATGGATCTGTTGTTACTTGCTCTCTGATCTTTGGAGTAAATTCTCTAACTTGTCTTAACTTCTGTTGCTTCATTTGTAATGTGGGGGATAATATACGTTAGGATGCAATACATGTATTTGGTATGTGCATGATTATTGTTGTTGTTGCTAAGTTGTGTCCAACTCTTTTGTGACCCCGTGGACTGTAGCATACCAGGCTCCTCTGTCCATGGGATTTCCCAGGCAAGAATCCTGGAGTGGGAAAAAAAAAAATCCTGGAGTAGGTTGCTGTTTCCTACTCCAGAGGATCTTCCTGGCTCAGGGACCAAACCTCTGTCTCTTGCTTTGGCAGCAGGTGTTCACCACTGAGCCACCAGGGCAGCCCATGTGCGTGATTAGTGTTCAGTAAATGATTATTTTCTTCATATTGTCTACCAAGATGTTAGAGTTGAATTTGTGGCTTATATGTGTACATACATATATGTATAATGTGTAGTTTGTTAAATAATCTCACTCTTCATCTTGGTTTCCTACCCTTATTTAAATATACCTTATTTTTTCTAATTATGCTTAGTGAATGTTTTGCTTGTTTCTTTCAGTCCAGTTCAAATCAAGGCAAAATAAATTTTTATATTTATAAAATTAAATTAGCAGATCCTAGGTCCTCATTAACCATGGTCATTTCTGACTAAGATATTTCTGTTGCGTTAAGTTAGTTTTATACGTGGTATGGAAGGAAGCGGCAGCAATGCAGATAACCTAAACTTTTTTTCCCTTTTGCTCTTTTGTGAAATCTGAAACTGCTTTGTTACCTTGAGTGTGAATCACTGATGTACGTATTCCTACAACTTTTATTGCTATGGAAATAAGGTTCAGTCACTTGTATTAAGGGCACCTCTAGCATCTCATTTTATTGATAAAGGTAAGATTTAGAATGCTTTTTTTTTTTTTTACAATTCTGAATAAATGCAGGCAAATATTAAACATATGTAAGTAACCTCCAACAGCCCTTCAGTTCAGTTCAGTTGCTCAGTCATGTCTGAATCTTTGCGACCCCATGAATCGCAGCACGCCAGGCCTCCCTGTCCATCACCAACTCCCAGTTTACTCAAACTCATGTCCATCGAGTCGGTGATGCCATCCAGCCATCTCAGCCCCTGTCGTCCCCTTCTCCTCCTGCCCCCAATCCCTCCCAGCATCAGGGTCTTTTCCAATGAGTCAACTCTTCGCATGAGGTGGCCAAAGTAAGGCTTTGGCATAGTCAATAAAGCAGAAATAGATGACATACTCCTTTTCCTATTTGGAACCAGTCTGTTGTTCCATGTCCAGTCTAACTGTTGCTTCCTGACCTGCATACAGGTTTCTCAAGAGGCAGGTCTCAAGAGGTGGTCTGGTATTCCCAATAGCCCTTAGCTCTCTGTTAATATAGTTCTGTTTTGATAGTACTTTTTTCTTCTAGAGAGTACTTTCCCTCTCATACCTTGAAACCATCAATCACTTCTATTAAATATATCTGTATAATTTGATCTGTCTTTAAATTTCTAGTCTTTCTAAATGTCTCTAAATTTCTAGTCTAGCTCCACTGTTGTACATTTCTACTGTGACATCCTGCTCATATCGGACTTGACATCCTGCTCCTGTCTCAGCCCTGACCCATTTCGCTGTGTCACTCCCCTACTGAACTTTGCAGTCACTCAGGCTCAACCTTGAAGATAAGTTTATCATCCATTTTAGTTCTCTTTAACAGCACGAGCAGTATCTTCTTCTTTTTTTTTTTTTATTATTTTTTTTATTTTTATTAGTTGGAGGCTAATTACTTTACATCATTACAGTAGTTTTTGTTATACATTGAAATGAATTAGCCATGGATTTACATGTATTCCCCATCCCAGTCCCCCCTCCCACCCAGTATCTTCTTAATCTTTGTATTGCAGCACCTTGCACAGCAGGCAGTCAATAATTGTTTAAAAAAGAAAGAACTGACTAATTGAATAAACTAAACAATGAAGATGGAGTTAAGAAAGGAATAAAGTAGATAATGAACAGAAGACCTAAGAAAGGAATTAAATCCATATCTGTTTTCTGCTAGATCTTGGACCCGCATTTCAGTCCTTGTCACGTCATGCTGGGCTATTGAAGCTGTCCCTTAACTGGTTTTATCTCTTTCTTGCCTTCTTAGCCACTGCCTTGTTCTGCTCTGCCTTATATCTCCATTCTTCCTTGCACTGTTTTATCTTCATAAATCAGAATAACCCTGAGATTATCATTTTTTTTAATGTCCTTATAGACTGTTTCCTTGTACTTGAATGCAATGTATTCTGACCACTTAGAACAGAACTGGATCTGTAGTAATCACTGAATATTTCTTGATAGATCTAATCGTGATGAGTTTCATGGACAGAAGTCTGAGGAAACATTGTTCAAAAATCATTACTTGTTAACCATTCTTTCTTTCATCCAGCTAAGTTTGCAGAACCAGGGGTTTCCTGGTGGTTCAGACAGTAAAGAATCTGCCTGCAGTGTGGGAGATTGAACCCAAGCCTGGGTTCAGTCCCTGGGTTGGGAAGATCCCCTGCAGGAGGGCATGGCAACCCACTCCAGTATACTTGCCTGGAGCTTGTTTATGGAGCAGAGCCTGGTGGGCTACAGTCTGTGGGGTTGCAAAGAGTCAGACACGACTGAGCATCTGAGCATGGCACATGCAGAACCAGACACTGTTTTAGACTTTGTTAGTACAGGGGTAAGCAGTCTAGTCCAAGAACTCTTGCTATCTTGTAGTGATGCTTTGAGAGAAAGAGAAAAACAATAAAAGATTAAGATGAAAGGACATGTTATTAGCATACAGGTGGGCTGCTTTTGGGGTATGCAAGTAATAACTTTATGAAAAAGTTTGGGTATTTAAGCTATAAGTTGAATACTAAGAAGAATCAACCCATGTAAAGGTCTAATATTCCAAACAAATGAAAAAATTGGAAAGATCTGGAGATAAGAATGAATGAGGAAGCTGTGGTACATATACACCTTGGAATATTACTCAGCCATTAAAAAGAATTCATTTGAATCAGTTCTAATGAGATGGATGAAACTGGAGCCCATTATACAGAGTGAAGTAAGCCAGAAAGATAAAGACCATTACAGTATACTAACACATATATATGGAATTTAGAAAGATGGTAATGATAACCCTATATGCAAAACAGAAAAAGAGACTCAGATGTATAGAACAGACTTGTGGACTCTGGGAGAAGGCGAGGGTGGGATGTTTCAAGAGAACAGCATTGAAACATGTATATTATCTAGGGTGAAACAGATCACCAGCCCAGGTTGGGTGCATGAGACAAGTGCTCGGGCCTGGTGCACTGGGAAGACCCAGAGGGATGGGGTGGAGAGGGAGGTGGGAGGGGGGACCGGGATGAGGAATACATGTAAATCCATGGCTAATTCATTTCAATGTATGACAAAAACTACTGTAATGATGTAAAGTAATTAGCCTCCAAAAAAAAAAAAAATAATAAATAAATGATTGTACCAAGTCAAAAAAAAAAAAAGAATGAATGTGGAGTTTTTGTTTTTGGTTTGTTTGACTTTTCCAATTAAATTCCATGAAGGGAAGGATTTAAACTTAAGTAAAAACTTTGAACATTCAACACACCACATGCCATTATATATTTATGTAAATATATTATTGTTTTGTGTGCCTTTTTTTGGTCAAGAGTATTTGCAGATATTTTTCCATGTCAGAATATAGGTTTATAGTGTTTTTAGGAATTGTACAGTGTTCAGTTGTGTGGATGAACTTCATGAAAAAAGTTTCGTGTAGTTCATTATCTCTAGTCAGAATTTTTCACTATATTTTTGAAGTACATTTTCAGAAGTTATATTCGATCTCTCCTAAGATAAATATCTAGACATGAAATTGCTTAATATCAGGAAGGTTATAAGGATTTTCATTCTTAAGAACAATACATAAATATGCCTGTTTTATGTATACTGGATTTTATCGGTCTTTATATGTTTGCCAATTGAACGTGCAGTAAATCTCCTTAAAGAAAACGTGTGTTTCTTTGATTAAAGCGAGATTGATTGTCATTATGTTCCCTGTCATGTATATTTTGAGAACTGCCTGTTGAAGTCTTCTGCTCGTTTATGATCACGGGACATGTTCTTTAAAGCATTTTTTTTTTCTTTACCGTTCTTATATATAGATGGTAAGTGTTTGTTGGAGAATTTTTTTTTTCCTTAGGTAGATCTATTTAAATGTGTATTATACTTACATTACCACTTGGGAAGTTTTTGTTTTTTGTCAAAATTAATACTGTTTAGTCTTCTATATTTATCATGCTTTTAGCTCCAATCTCTGCTTCTCATACAATGAAACTTTTTCTGCTTTGTAAATAACATAAGATTGTGCATCTGTATAGAAACGTTCTTTCCATTGACAAACTCACTGCCATAAATTAGTAGGATTTTCAAAATTGATTAGTGATTGGCTAAAAGAAGCTCCAAAATCCTTTATTAATACCCTGTTTTATATTCTTTAGTTGCTTTATGTGTAACTCCTATATTATTAATAATTAGGACTTAGGATGCAGGTTGATAAGGGACTGTATTTTTTGTTTTTTCCCTGTTTATGTGTTCCTGGCTTACTTACTGTATAGTCTAGGGATTGAATTTAATTTATTGTCTCTATGAGTCAGGATTCAATTGCAAGTTACTCATCACTATGGATATGTTTAAGTAGTAAAAGAAGATCCTGCTCCTTGGTGTCCAGCTCTTTGCGACCCCATGAACTGTAGCCCACCAGGCTCCTCTGTACATGGAATTCTCTAGGCAAGAATACTGGAGTGGGTAGCCCTTCCCTTCTCCAGGGGATCTTCCTGACCCAGGCAGTGAATCTGGATCTTTTGCATTGAGGGTGGATTCTTTACCATTTGAGTCACCAGGGAAGGCCCCCTTTTAAGTATAAAGGGTCTTAATTCAAAGAGGTGCTTACAGAAATCGTCAGAAGTTACAGAGCAGACCTGACCTCAGCTGTACTCCAAAAGCTAGAAAATGAGGAAGCTGTGATCATGTACCTGCTTCCAGCCTCATGAAGAAGCTGCTATAATTATTGGCTTCTATACTAAGGTGCTTTTACTAGAGTTGCAGAGACAACACAGATGCCCTGCCTGTTGCTTCTCAACACTCAAAAGTAGTGCCTGGACACTGGGGCCACAGAAGGCTGAAGTACTTTTGTATACATGTTTGCCAGCAGAAACAAGCTAGTAGCAAAACCCTCTGCCTTGGTTCAGTCAGTTCAGTTCAATCGCTCAGTAGTGTCTCTTTGCAACCCCATGGACTGCAGCACGCCAGGCCTCCCTGTCCATTGCCAACTCCCAGAGTTTACTCAAATTCATGTCCATTGAGTCGGTGATGCCGTCCAACCATCCCATCCTCTGTCGTCCCCTTCTCCTCCTGTCTTCAACCTTTCCCAGCATCAGGGTCTTTTCCAATGAGTCAGTTCTTTGCATCAGGTGACCAAAGTATTGGAGTTTCAGCTTCAACATCAGTCATTCCAATGAATATTGAGGACTGATTTCCTTTAGAATGGACTGGTTGGATCTCCTTGCAGTCCAAGGGACTCTCAAGAGTCTTCTCCAACACCACATCAATTCTAAAGTGCTCAGCTTTCTTTATAGTCCAACTCTCACATCCATACATGGCTACTGGAAAACCATAGATTTGACTAGATGGACATTTGTTGGCAAAGTAATGTCTCTGCTTTTTAATATGCTGTCCAGGTTGGTCCTAACTTTTCTTCCAAGGAGCAAGCGTCTTTTAATTTAATGGCTACAGTCACCATCTGCAGTGATTTTGGAGCCCCCCAAAATAAAGCCTGTCACTATTTCCACTGTTTCCCCATCTATTTGCCATGAAGTGATGGGACCAGATGCCATGGTCTTAGTTTTCTGAATGTTGAATTTTAAGCTAACTTTTTCACTCTCTTTCACTTTCTTCAAGAGGCTCTTTAGTTCTGCCTTGGTTAGACCTTCCCAGTTTAATGTGTGGGAATAGAGGAACTTAAATCACATCCAGCACTTGAGATGTAAGAGTTTGAGAAATGCAGTTTGTTTTTTAGCTGAACAACTTCTGCCAGAAAGCAGAAGATGGGTAGAGTGGATATTGAATATTAATCTCCCATATTCACCACAGTCATACATAGGAATAATAAATACTGGCTTACAACTTTGTTTTTCCTATTCTTAGATCAATTTATGTGAAGAATTTGATTTCTTCCCCTTGTTTTTCAGCATTTGCTAGAAGTAAAGTCTTTAAAGCATCTGACAAGATTGACCCTACAGGATCGCATTACCAAGTCTCTTCTTCATTTGCACAAGAAGAAGAAACCTCCCAGCATCAGTGCCCAGTTTCAGGTTGTTTCCTATTTACTTTTTTTTCCTTTTATTTTTAACAAAGAGGGATCTGTTTTGTTGTTGTCATCACAAGGTCAGTGATCTGCAAGATTCATGCGACTAAAAAGTTATAGTAGAATGGCCGTTTTGGTTGGAAGTACCAAAGATGGGAGAAAGATCAGGTGCTTTTATTCATCTCTGGGGAGTACATATCCCAAAGAGGAATTCGTTATATTCAGCTTGAGGAGAAAAGCACCAGAAAGTTGACTGCCCAGATGTGGCACTGTTAACACCATGATGTATGTTTTTTTTCTCTGTATGTTTAAACCGCATGCTAGTGCCATCATTATTTAACTAAATGGAATTGTAAGGTTTTTCTTGACTTTTTATTTTAGTTTTGTATATATAGGAATCTGGATCATTTTATTGTGACTGTGCATTTAGGAATAAATGCAATCATAATAAATTAACGAAATCACCTCCAGAATTAATTTCAAGATACTCTTCATTTTTCCTCTTCTTATCAGATTATCTCTTAATATTCTGTTCACTTGCTAGATATTTATGAAAATGAGCTGAAAATCTGAAGGGTAATGGTATTTTAGATAATTTTTTTCTACCTTGTGCTTTATTACTCACAGAAGCAGTACTAACTAAAGCATTGTTAACTAAAAATTTCTTTATCTACTGATAGCTATATTTTTATTTTTTAGCACTTTTTCAGTGTTCTGTTTTAATCCAGGATATCTAAATGTAAATTATCTACTAACATGTCACTGGATATGATCTTGTTTGATTTATAAGCACAGTCCTTCAACCTATAAGCTAGAAATGTCATTTATTTTAGACAATTTTCACCATAGGCCCAGAGAAAAATTTGATTCTATAAAAGCTACTTGGTCCAATGTTTTTTCTTCAAAAAAAAAAAAAACAAGATTAAAGAGCCAAATAACTTACTAGGTCCTAATAAAGTTAAAGGAAAGACAATTGAATATATGATGGAAGCTCTGCCATGAATTTTACACAGACCTTCTTAAGTCACAATCCTATGGCTTAATGGTATTTGATTATTTAAAAAGAGAGAGGTGTTGCTTGGCCCTGTTTATCTAAGGAAGCATTAGTCTCCTTTGCATGATTAGGACGAGTAGAACCATTAAGCTATTGTCTCCTTTGTTTTATCATCTTGGTTCTTTTACAGGTGCCTCTTTATCAAACTCAATCTTTAATCGGAAGAATACTCGTTATAGCTACTACAATTAAAGCTTAATTACAGTCCTATAATGTCCCATTAAATCCCCCAAATTCAGAAATTATGGATATTTTCAAATTATATTCATGTATTATATTTAACATTTACAAAGAGTCATCTGTAATGTTTCTAATACATTGTTAAATATTATAAGAGTAATGAATTAATTTTTCTAAACTTTTTATTATTTAGAAAATACAGTGAACAAAAACAAATGAAAATCATTAACCATCCAGAAACATAATGATGAATGTACTACATTTGCCATATTCCTTATTAAATATTTATACATATGCATTATCTATTTTTCCTCCAATTCTGTGAGATAAATACCATCATTCTTATTGTACAGATGAGGAAATTAGAAGTGATGGAGATGGATGGCAGCCAGGTGTCTATGACTTCACACCCTTCTTGTGAATGAATGTTTCTTTTCATCAAAGTGAAATTGTAGAACTCATGAAGGATTAACTGATATAGGAATTACCCTTCTTATGAACATCTAGAAAACTAGGCAAAAAGTAAAAATAGAGTGTTTTTAGTTATCAGACAATAAGCATTACAGGATTATGATCCCTGAGAAAAGGGAAATAAAGGAGGCAAGTCCCAGGTTACTGCACAAAGATAATTTGCTGTAGCCCAGGGAGAGGGAGCCCAAACAAATGCCAAAGGTTTTGCTCTGAGCCTACCCTCACAAAGCTTAATAAAAGTAAGTCTTAAAAGAATCAAAATGATCCTGTGTAACTCAACCCCAGGGGCAACTGTCTGTTGCTCTTTGAAGAAATACAGCAAAATCAAAGAATATAAAATCACTCCAGTGTCCAGTCTGAAATTATTAGGCATGTGAAGAATCAGGGAAAGAACCACCCATAGCATGACAGAAAAATTAATCATTAGAAACAGATTGTAAAAATAACAAAGATGGTGGAAATAGTAGATGAGGATCTTAAATAATTATTATAAACCATATAAGTATGTCCAGGGATATAAGAAAAATGTGAATAATAATGAGAAAAAAATAGAAGACAGGAAAAAGACACAAATGATTAATCATTTCAGAGATTAAAATTGTAATATTTGGAAATGAAATAAACTAGTTGGAATTAGTGCCCCCGAAATAGTGAATTAAGAGTTTACATTTACTTTAAAATGCAGAGAGATGTAATAAACAATGATGGGGGGAAAAAAATGAAAAAAAGCATTAGCAGCTTGTGTGAAAATATTAAGTCATTGAACATAGATCTAAGAAGGAAAGGCAGAAGAGGGGGATACAGAAAAAATTTTGAAGAAATAATGACCAAAATATTTTCTGATTTTTATGAATAACATAGGCTCAAATATCAAAGGATCTCAACAAGCCCCAAGCAAAACACCTCCCCGCCAAGCATATCAAGACACATCACATCAAATTGCTAAAACCAGTTAAAAAAAGAAAACTTTAAATACAACCAAAGAAAAAAGATATTTATGTTATATGAAATGAAAATAAGAAAAACAGTATGTTTCTCATCATAAACTATGAAAGCCAGAATTCAAGAGTAGTGTTTTTAAAAGCTTGAAAGAAAAAAAAATTGTCACTCTAAAATTTTCTGCACAAGTGAGTAATGAAGGTTAGAGACTTTTTTAGACAAACAAAAGTTGAGATTGCAGTTCCAGGAAATCGACAATGTAAGAATGCTAAATTTGGAATAAAAATGATGAGAAAACCACAGAATTTGAATCTGTACAAAACATTGAGATTGCCAGAATGACAGAATGTAACTATTGAAAGTTTTTTCTTCTTTGAATCTTTAAAAAAAGATAATTGATTGTAGAAGACAAAAATACTAGTATGTTGTATGGTACAAATGAGACATATGGTAAAGTAGCACAGAAGGGAGGGGCTAAATGTAAGTTTATACTGTTGTAAATTTTTACTCTATGTAGTCAAAGGAGACTGAAAAATTTTTAAGTATTTTAAAAAGAAATGAAAATAAAGCATCAAAATTTGTGCAGTGCATCTAAAGTAATATTCCAAAGTTAATATATAATAATAAATTCTCTTATTAGAAAAAGTAAAAGCCTCATGTCAGTAGTCTAAGGTTCTACCCTAGGAAACTAGAAAAAGAAAAACATTAAACCCAAAGCAAGCAGGAGTGAAATGATAAAGTAGAATCATCAATGAAATGAAAAACAGAAAAATAATAAGAGAAAACCTGATGAAATAAAAAATCTGGTTCTTTGAAAATATCGGAAAATTTATAAACCTCCAGTTAGACTAACCTGGAAAAAACAGGCAAAGCACAAGTAATCAGCATCAGGAATGGAAGATACTTAAAGGTTATATACTTATATACTTAAAGGTTAAAATTGAAGCAGACGACTACTACCTTCCTGGATATCCTACTACAGGAGTCCCCAACCTCTGGGATCTAATGCCTGATAATCTGAGGTGGAGCTGATGTCATGATGATAGAAATAAAGTGCACAATCAATGTAATGCACTTGAATCATCCTGAAACTATCCCCCTCCCACCCGGCTCCAGTTCATGGAAAAACTGTCTTCCGTGAACCTGGCCCCTTGTGTCAGAAAGGTTGGGGACTGCTGCCCTACTGAATGGTTTTCCCAAAGTTGCTCTAATACTGCATGCATTTGAATAAAATTGTTTCATGAAATCTGAAGAAAAGTAAAAAATGTATTGTAGGCTTGTTGTGTAGTTGCTAAGTCATGTCCAACTCTTTGGGACCCCAAGGACTGTTGCCCGCCAGGCTCCTCTATCCATGGGATTTCCCAGGCAAGAATACTGGAGTAGATTGCCATTTCCTTTTCCAGGGGATCTTCCCAAACCAGGGATTGAAATGTTGCCTGCTTGGCAGGTGGATTCTTTACCACTCAGCCACCTGGGAAGCCCCCATCATATATTTAGTTGACTATAAAATTATTTACAGTATTTACCATTACCAGTCTCTCGGCTTTAAGGTTAAACTGCCATCCTTGTCCTTAACTGGCCTCAGTTTAATCAGTATGGCATTGTACACAGTTTGCTTTTCAGAAACAAACCTGGTTCTGTGTTTATCACTTGTTTTTGCATATTTTACCAACATCATAAATCATTTGTGTCCAGTTTGGAATGAGAGACAGTGCTAACTATTGCTTTGTATTGCAGGCCTCATTAAGCAAGCTGATGGAAACACTTGGTCAAGCAGAACCTTATTTTGTAAAATGCATTCGCTCTAATGCTGAAAAGGTAAGAATGTCCCTTGAATGAGAGCTTCTAGCTTGGCTTACTTCAAACCAAACTTTAAAGTCATTCTAAGGAGGATATGTGGAAGCGAAGAGCTGTTTATAATCTTTGTAAGGAAAACGGTGTTCTGAATTTTCTCTGGATATCCTTATAATTTCCTCACTTACCTGCCTATGAACTATTTATATAAACTCAATTTAGCATTTTCTAGAATTTAGCATCAGCTACAGAATCAAAAATCTCTTGAAATTTCATTATACAAAATAATTTTTTGCAACTTTTGTTACCCTAAGATTAATCTCTTATTCAGACATAAGGTGTTAATCAATCACTCTTACAGAACTTGCCTGGCATTTTTCATGTTTAGATTCTTGTCTCTTTAAAATAGGTTACTCTGGACATTCTTGATTTCCTTGTTTTATATGACAGTTCCCCTAATTAGAGCTTTGCAAAATATTATCTATTAAGTGTAAGCATTTGTCGTCTTTGTGTCCATCATAGGAGAAAATAGTTTCAGCCCAAACTTCTGAAATTTAGTAGGAAATTAGGTTCAACTTCCTTAATTCTTAAGAAGGAGTCTCCAGCTTTGCCAGTTACAAGTTTTGTGGTCTTAGATGAGTTGCATGACCTCTCTGTACCTTAAATAATTTCATCTGTGTAAGAATATACTGTAATTGTAGGACACTTCATAAGTGTTTTGTGAGTACATGAGAAAAAAACCTGTGTAGTACTTAGAATGTTCCTGGCCCCTAGTAAGTGCTTGTAAATGTTAGCTATTCCTTAATGGTTGGTTCTTTTATGGTGACAAAAAGGGAAACTTTATTTACAGTTAGAGAAATTTGAGTCCCTGTTATTGAGACCTTGTTCTACAAAGAGTTCAATTAATAAGGTATTTAAGGACACAGAATAAATACTAAATAAACGTTAACTGCTATTATTGTTTAACATAAGCTGCCCACTTGACTTTTTTCTTGACAGTTGGTATGCTCTGTCTTTCTGCAGGAAAGTGTTTGGGATTTCCTTAGTGAAAAATTGAAAGTGGTATTTAGAGAATAAGGAGAAATACCAGAAATTTCAAATACATCTTCTTTTGAATGTCTAAAAACACACCTAAGAGATACCTAGGAGTGACTGGTGATGAAGGACAATAGAAATTTTTTTATTTTCCAGGGTGCCTTACAGGATCATCAGCAAAAACTCTTTAGGGAGATAACTGCTCTTAATCTTGTACTAGTCATAGAAGATGAATCTGTCAGCTCTCAAGTTAAGGCAACTGGAAGATTGTAGAGTAGGTGGTTTTTGAGTGAGATGGTGGGTAAAATCTCAACAAAAATATACTCTTAACTATGTATAAGTAAGTTAATTTTGTTACAGATTTTATAGTGACTAAACTCTGTGGCCTGTGGGCAGCAGAATTTCCTTTTGAGTTTGAGGGTGCTTTTCTTCTGCAAGTAGTGAAGCCTGGAAGTTTGGTGTCTCTTTTTTTCCCTTTAGTCAGGCAGTCAGAACTTTTCTGAAGCTACCAGTTGTGGAGGTAAGATTGTCTCATTGCCTCTGCTATATCTTAACCAGACAACCTCCAGTCAGTTCCTAGATATTCAGAATTTAACTACACTTACAAAACAAACATAAATTTGGAGATCTGTTCTTCTGGGTTAACCCTTTTTCTGTTTGCTTTCTTTTAGTTACCATTAAGGTTCAGTGATGCCTTGGTGCTTAGACAGCTTCGGTACACTGGGATGCTGGAGACAGTTCGAATTCGCCAATCAGGATACAGTTGCAAATATTCTTTCCAGGTTATGCTTTTATAGTGATATTTAAATATATATATACATCAAGTAAATTAGTCTTGTGTCTTGCTTATTTTTCATTTGGGACTCACTTGTTTATTTCTCTTAATCCTCCTCCCCATTCTATCTTTCATATACAGAATTGATGAGGGATAGAGAATATTCATTTCCATTGACTGACAGCAATATCATTAAGTTTATGTTGTAATAGATTCCACTTCTTGGCTATTCTCATTTGATCTGAATGTTTGCTTATGTAAGTTTATTCATAACATGGCAGTTCTTCACCGTGATTACTCCAGTAACTGAAATACTATAATCCGAGCAATCTAGTTCAAAAGAAAAGATCGCTTTTGATTTTCCCTAAAGTTTTCTCAGTAGAATTTTTTTTCCATAGTATGTTGCCAGCAAGGCTTTCAGCTGTTTTCATGAGCTGCTGCTGCTATGGGTATAGAAATTATTTTGAAGCTTTTCAGAAGCTGAGCACATCTTTACTGTTGAGGGAAAGCTTTATTTTCAGTTATAACCTGAGATAGCTGCCACCTTTCCGTATTTTTCTGCTAAAAATTTCAGAACCTTCTTAAGTAACTTTTTCTTTGGTCTTTAGCTTTTTCAAAGGGAGAATTAATTTCTGTCCTTTTCTTGCGCTTTGATAACAATATGTAGATATCTCTACCCCCCATTTTATGAATTAATTAATCTTTTGTAATGTTTTAAATTAACAAGTCATTTCTTGGTTTCACCCTGTTTAAAATAATGAGACAGAAATCAATAAAAGGACAATTAACTTGTTTGGGATCTTGTTTACATATAATTCTCTTGTGATTCTACAATATTTTCTTTTCATTTTTCAGGATTTTGTGAGCCATTTCCATGTACTTCTTCCCCGAAATATTATTCCATCCAAATTTAACATTCAGGATTTCTTCAGGAAAATAAATCTTAATCCAGATAATTATCAAGTTGGAAAATCCATGGTAAATATAATATATACAGCCCTTGTCCAAATTGAGGATGTTTTTGTAGGCAGCAGTGGAGACACAGACATAGAGAACAGACTTGTGGACACAGTGGGGGAAGGAGAGAGTGGGACAAATTGAGAGAGCAGCATTGAAACACATACACTATCACGTTAATGTAAAGTTAAAATACTAATATAGATTAAAATTACCAATTAATCTAAACTGAGACAGCCAATAGAAGTTTGCTCAATGACACAGGGAGCTCAGATCTGGTGCTCTGTGACAACCTCGAGGGGTGCAATAGGGTGGAAGGTGGGAGGGAGGTTTAAGGAGGGGACATATGTGTACCTATGGCTGATTCATGTTGATATATGGCTGAAACCAACGCAATATTCTAAAGCAATTAACCTCCAATTAAAAGTAAATAAATTTAAAAAAGAAAAAATAATTATCCAATACAAAATATTATTAAAGTGATACTTTATGTTCTTTCTTAAAAAAAAAAATAATGGCAGTCTTTGCCTAGAAGAATGTTGATAAGAAAGATAATGTACAAGATATTATAAGGAAATTAATTAGACCAAGATTTTTAGTTAATGAGATGGTCAGTATTAATCAAAGAGCTTATGACCAATGCTTTAGTGCTGCCTATAATTTTAACTGCTTAAAAAGCATCTCTTTCTAGGTATTCTACTGTAATTTTCAACTCAGTTTACCCAAAGTGACGTTAGCCAGATTCGCCTCTGTCTTTAACTAATCAACTGCTCTTTTTCTCTGTCACCTTTCTTGTAGTTTCTAGACTAGAAACCATAATCATATATGGCTTACCCTTCACTTTAATCTTTTTACAAAAAAGTTCTGTTTCCATTGTTTTTCCTTACAAATGATTCTCACATCTCTGCCTTTCCTTACATTCCTACTGTTTCCATTTTTAGTTCTGTTTCTTAGCTCTCACATTTCTCACATTTCTCTTATAGTAAACAGATCCATCATCTGATATCAGTCTGTTATTCTGTGTAACTCACTCTGCCCTTAGTATCAAAATTATCATCTTCATATACTTCTTTCTTTATGTCAGCTTCCTGTTCAGTAATAATCACCCAGTAACCTCCTGATTAAACATCTTTCTCTTTTTCAAGAACCTCCATGTTGTGAATTCATACTCTTTTATTGTTCCATGGTCCCCGGTATGTACATTTATTCTTATTTCTAACTCCTTGTTTTGCGCAGGTAGGGTCCTCTGTCTCTTGCCCTTGATAGCTTACTGTTTCACTCTGTGGGTTTCTGATACCTATCTGTGCTTTTTAAAAATCTTTTAAACTTTTGACAAAAATGGGAGATGGTGGACATGTTTCTTAGTTTGATTGTGATAATCATTTCACAGTGTTTATACATGCATCAAAACATCACATTGTACATCTTAAGTATATACATCTTTAATATCTATCTGCTCTTGAAGTTGAGGTGCAAATCCTGTTTCCAGAGGGACTGTGTCTAATTTATCTTTGTATACCCCTAAATTCCTAAAGATTTATAATTGAATGAAAGAGTGAATAAACACACTGATGAATATCTCTGGGCAGCAAAGAAGCCTTTGATGCATACTGGATTTTAAAAGATCATTGTTATTTATCACTATTATAATCATTGGCTCCTGACAGCAGTGAATTTCCCCAGGGAATAATATATCACAATCTCTGGCACTGGGATTTTGGTACCTATGCTCACCTTTCCAGTTCCCCTTCTATATTCTAATACCTCCTTTCCAATTTGAGAATGACTGCTTTGGCTAAATCATAGAAATATCAGGATTACTTGTACATGTCTGCTGCTGTACCCATTCTTCTCTAACAAAGCTTACCATGGGAATCATCACAGGAATGATGATGCATTAAATAAATTTCTCGTTTCTTCTTAAGCTGTATTCTTCATCTTTTTCCCTTCTGGTAGGTGTTCCTAAAGGAGCAGGAACGACAACACCTACAGGATCTGCTTCACCAGGAGGTGCTCCGCAGAATCATATTGCTGCAACGATGGTTCAGGGTCTTGCTGTGTAGGCAGCATTTCCTCCATCTGAGACAGGCGTCTGTTGTCATCCAGGTGGGAAGTAAAGGATTCTTTGCATGAGATTGACCAGTGTATTTAGCCTGTGTTTTAGTAACTAGAAGTGATTTATTGTGAAGCATTTAAATAAGAATGTAAATTTCTTCAGAGATGCGATTATGTCCTTCTCATTTCTTAAATGTTCATAGTAACCAACAGATTTACCTGGCAATACAATAATAGACTATTAGTAAATATATTGATGTACAGTTGAAATTAAATTGAATTTATAGTTATAATGTACTATGAGGTATAATTAGGAGCAAAGGAGTTATGTTCCTTAATTTCTGTTGACAAGTTATTTTTAGTTTTCTTGGTGATATTTGAAAATGATACATATATTGTTATAATTATTCAAATTCATATTTTACATTTATATTTTATTTTCTCCCTCATTGATTTCTCCCTCATTGACAGCTGTTTTCCATACAGCTTTCCAACTTTTCCAGCTTTCCAAACTTTTCTGTTTGTGCAAGAAGGTCTTTAATATCTTAATCTTTGAAATGTATACACATTGACCCATTAGTACTGGCAAATTGTAGGTGAGAATATAATGTAATTTATTAAAATTAATTTGTAGGGCATGAAATCATCAAAAAATTTAAATTATTTTAAGTTGTATAATTGACTTCATCAAGGTTATATTATCTAAAATTGTTATTTTCACTAAGCATATCTGGAAAACATTTTTTCTTCTTTAACCACCCACAGTTTAGCTGTTTAGCTACTTAATATCTAGTTATGACATAAGAGATTTCTTTTTTCTGTGAAAATGTGTTACATGCTACCAGTTTTATCATTGTCTTCCCCGCAGCAATTCTGGAGGAGTTACGTACGTCAGAAGCAAGCCAGAGCTGCAGCTGTGCAGAAAGATGCTTTCCTTATGGCAAGTGCGGCCACTCTCCTGCAGGCCTCCTGGCGCGCTCACTTACAGAGGCGGCGGTATTTGGAGCTGCGGACTGCCGCCATTGTCATCCAGCAGAGATGGAGGAAGCGCTGTAGGCGGAGACACTTGGCTGCTGTCTGTATACAGGCAAGATGGAAAGGCTACAGGGAAAGTAAGAAGTATCAAGAACAAAGGAACAAAATTATCCTTTTGCAGTCACTGTATAGAGGATTCAGAGCAAGACAAAGGTAATCTTCATTGCTATAATAATTAACTCCCCTTTTCTCAAGTACTTTGCTTATATGTCTGCTCTAACATTTGCCTAACTTGAATTAGAACTGGTTGTGTACAATTTGTCTTCTCTTCTAGACTTTGATCCCCCCAGCAGCTTTAAACCACATTGTGCGGTTTATAATATTGAATTAAATTGGATTGCAAACCTACATGGTTTGTGGTTATAACTGCTAAGAATTAACTTTACATTGGGTTGAATCCTTAAAAATTGGCAATATTGCAACTGGTTTTACTTTCAGAAACTTCAATTTCATTTTTAAGGTTTATCTTAAAATAAGATGTTATTAAAATGAGAGCTTTGCTTCTGAATTAACTTATGCTTTGATTAGAGTGCCCAGTTAGGAATAATATACTTAATAAAACATCATCTCACTTATAGAAACAGAATTCTGAAATATGCATCCATGTTAAAGAAATGCTTAATATTATAAAAAAATTTTTTTGAGACTTTTCACTTTTTAAAAATTCTGAATAAACTTATTCTCTCCATTGGTAGCCAAGAAGTATCTCTAACCTGTTTTTTTTTTTTTTTTCTGTTTTGATATAGATTTAAATCTCTGAAAGAACAAAAAGTAAAAGAAGCAAAACTAGAACTTGGATTGGCAAGTATCAAGCCATATGGGACTCTGGAAATTCATGGTTCAGACCCTTCAAAATGGGAGGATTGTTCATTTGACAGCAGAGTAAAAGCCATTGAGGAATGTAAATCTGTGATAGAGAGTAATCGAATTAGTCATGAAAGTTCAATGGACTGCTTGAATGAGTCCCCAAACAAGCGACAGGAGAGAGCCAGAAGTCAAAGTGGTGTGGACTTGCAGGAAAATGTGATTGTAAGAGAGAGACCCAAGTCCTTGGAAGATCTCCACCAGAAAAAAGTGAGTCGGGCCAAAAGAGAAAGTCGGAGAATGAGAGAACTAGAACAAGCTATATTTAGCTTAGAATTGCTGAAAGTCCGTTCTCTCGGTGGTGTGTCTCCTTCAGAAGAGCGTAGATGGTCTACGGAACTGATGCCTGAGGGCCTTCAGTCTTTGCAGGGTACACCTGATAGTGAAAGCTCGCACGGAAGCTTGGAACTTCTGAGCTGTGAGGAGAGCCAAAAGAGCAAACCAGAGCCCATAATTACAGATGAAAGAGACTTGCCATTTGTACCACCTGAGGTATCTTGCAGTTCAGATTTTGAGCCACAGGACTATCCTGTCAGTGCTGCAAGTGAGACTAACTATACATTGACTCAAAGGGGGCCACCTTCTGACTCAGTGCATTTAAAGAATGGGGCTATGAAGGAAAAGCTGGTTTGCAGTTCTGAATCTATTACCTGTAAACCACAGCTGAGAGACCCCTTTGTTTCAAATAGTTTGCCTACATTTTTTTATATTCCCCATCAAGACCCACTGAAAACGAGCTCCCAACTAGACACAAGTGTCCAGAGAAGCAAACTATTAGAAAGTGAAGAAACGCTTCCATCTCTTACTTTGGATATCAGCAGGGAAGCTGGAAAGTACCACCTCCCAGGAGAAAATCAGGTTGTTGCTTCTTTGAATACAGATTCTCCAAATACCGTGCTTAAGAAATTAGAAAAGTTGAACACTGAGAAGGAAGAAAGGCAAAAGCAATTGCAGCAACAGAATGAGAAAGAGATGATGAAACAGATTCGCCGACAAAAAGATATTTTAGAAAAGGAGCGTAAAGCCTTCAAGACAATTGAAAAGCCAAGAACTAGGGAGAGTTTTCTGGTACCATCTTTCCATCAGTCAAAGCAGAGAATAGAGAGACCATCCTCTCTTCTCATCCTGAAAACCCCAAATAAGGATGAAGAATCCAGTATGGTTGGGACTCTGTCAGTAACTATAAAAGATTCTGTTCTTGCCCCAAAAGACAGTCCCTCAACTCACTTACCCTTAAAGGACCGACCTGTCACTCTGTTCTTCGAAAGAAAAGGAGGCCCAGGCCAATCTCATACTGTCAAGGAATTATCCAAGACAGACAGAATGTCCACCCAACTGAATGTTGCCTATAAACACTCTCATAGTCGCATTTCAAAGAGAGAACACCTGAGGCCGGCTCAGCCTTGTAGCCACAAATCTGATGACCCTTTCGGAGACGGAGCTACTAAGGCCATTTTTTTCACACCAAAGGAAAATATGAGTAGTTCCCTGTAAGTGAAGGGTTTATTTTTATGTTATAAATGAGAAACTTTTTGGAAATTTTCATTAAGGTGCCTTGGTCTACCTCAGTTATTTGTATGGGTGCTACTTGAATTAGCTAATTTCTGTGTGTAAAAAAATTTCCTGATTGTTGACTACACCAACCACCTGAAAATTGGATATAATTATACGCTGGGAGTCTTTGACTAAGCACAGGCAGCAAGGTTTTTGGTTCCCCCCCAATAAGGAAGAAAGCATTTGTGGAGAGCCATAGAGTGGCTGGAAATGCAGTAGACATTCAACAAATGCGGGTTGCCCCAGAGTTATTAGGTGTAGCAGTCCAAGCTTATTTGTATCAGGCTTTAAAATTAATGGGATTTGTGATAGCTGTTGGCCTATTTATGGTCTTCGTTAAGATCTTTGTACTTTTTTGAGGGGGGCGGATAAAAGCCACATAATATTTTCCATCTTAACCATTTTAAAGTGTACAGTTCAGTAGCGTTAACCATATGCACATTGTTGTGCAACAAATCTAGAACTTTATCTTGCAAAACAAATTCAGTTACCCTTGAAAGCAACTCTCCTTTTCCCTTTACCCCCAGCCCCCAGCAACCACCATTCTACCTTCTGTTTATAAGAATGTGACTACTTTATTTTATTTTTATTTTTGACTGCACTGCAACCAGGATTGAACCTAGGCCCTCAGCAGTGAAAGCTCAGAGTCCTGACCACTGGATAGCTGGAGAATTCCCTGTGACTACTTTAGATACCTTGTATAAGTGGAAGTTCCTTATACTTTTAAGTTGTCTTAACAAGTGGTAGCTGTGAAAAAGCATTTAAGTGGTACATAAAACAAATTTGATAAAATTTAAAATATTTGTATTAAGCCTAGTTAATACAGTTCTTTCAGTTTTTGTGGAAGAATATCACTGTTTAAATGAAAGGAGAGCCATATCTTAGGACTAAAAAAGTTGTATTTCGTATTAACCGTGAAAATAACTTTCTCATCAAATCTTGAGTTTTTAAATCTTTCAGTCTTTAAAAAACTTGCATACAGATTTTATAGAAAACCTTTGTAAATATGGGCAAGAGATCATTGATATTTTATTTTTCCACTAAGAATTTTTATATCATATTATAAAATGCAGTTGGACTACATGACAGCTTGAGAGCCTAGTCCTGCCCATTAACCTGTAGATTGTCCAGCAGTTCAAGACTGTAGCATATAAGCCCATCAGAAAATGTTCAGTCAGTCAGCTCAGTCGCTCAGTCGTGTCTGACTCTTTGCGACCCCATGAATCACAGCACGCCAGGCCTCCCTGTTCATTACCAACTCCTGGAGTTTACTCAAGCTCATGTCCATCAAGACAGTGATGCCATCCAACCATCTCATCCTCTGTTGTCCCCTTCTCCTCCTTCCCCCAATCCCTCCCAGCATCAGGGTCTTTTCCAGTGAGTCAACTCTTCACATCACGTGGCCAAAGTATTGGAGTTTCAGCTTCAGCATCAGTCCTTCCAGTGAATACCCAGGACTGATCTCCTTTAGGATGGACTGGTTGGATCTCCTTTCAGTCCAAGGAACTCTCAAGAGTCTTCTCCAACACCACAGTTCAAAAGCATCAGTTTTTCAGCACTCAGCTTTCTTCACAGTCCAACTCTCACATCCATACATGACCACTGGAAAAACCATAGCCTTGACTAGACGGACCTTGTTGGCAAAGTAATGTCTCTGCTTTTTAATATGCTATCTAGGTTGGTCATAACATATTATCTTCTGCCTTTCTTATTAAGTTTAGTTATGTGAGGGATGTGTGTGTGTGTGTATAGTTGTTAGATCCATGAATCTGTTTTATAGAAGGCTTCAGTTCAGTTCAGTCACTCAGTCGTGTCTGACTCTTTGTGATCCCATCAACTGCCACACACCAGGCCTCCCTGTCCGTCACCAAATTCTGGAGTTTACTCCAACTCATGTCCATTGAGTCAGTGATGCCATCCAACCATCTTGTCCTCTGTCATCCCCTTCTCCTCCTGCCTTCAGTCTTACCCAGCATCAGGGTCTTTTCATATGAGTCAGTTCTTTGCATCAGGTGGCTAAAGTATTGGAGTTTCAGCTCCAGCATCAGTCCTTCCAATGAATATTGAGGACTGATTTCCTTTAGGATGGACTGGTTGGATCTCTTTGCAGTCCAGGGGACTCTCAAGAGTCAAAAGCATCAATTCTCTGGCGCTCAGCTTTCTTTATGATCCAACTCTCACATCCATACATGACTACTGGAAAAACCATAGCCTTGACTAGATGGATCTTTGTTGGCAAAGTAATGTTTCTGCTTTTTAATATGCTGTCTAGATTGGTCGTAACTTTTCTTCCAAGGAGCAAGCGTCTTTTAATTTCATGGCTGCAGTCACCATCTGCAGTCATTTTGGAGCCCCCAAAAATAAAGTCTGACACTGTTTCCACTATTTCCCCATCTATTTGCCATGAAGTGATGGGACTAGATGCCATGGTCTTAGTTTTCTCAATGTTGAGTTGTAAGCCAGCTTTTTCACTCTCCTCTTTCACTTTCATCAAAAGGCTCTTTAGTTCTTCTTTGCTCTCTGCCATAAGGGTGGTGTCATCTGCATATCTGAGGTTATTGATATTTCTCTCAGCAGTCTTGATTCCAGCTTGTGCTTCATCCAGCCCAGCGTTTCTCATGATGTACTCTGCATATAAGTTAAATAAGCGGGGTGACAATATACAGCCTTGACGTACTCCTTTCCCTATTTGGAACCAGTCTATTGTTCCATGTCCAGTTCTAACTGTTGCTTCCTGACCTGCATACAGATTTCTCAAGAGGCAGATTTCAAAAATGTTAATCATCCTTGTGAATTACTCCTTTTATCATTTTGCCAAGATACAGTCTTAACAGCTCCTTTTTTACTTTACCTAATTAACAACTATTTATCTTCAAAATGATATGTATTAGATTGTTTGCATGAAAGCTTAAGGAAAATCCATACTTCACATGTTCTCTTACTCTGTAAGTAATACTAGAAACATTAGCATTTTATAGAATTGTAAATGTTAGTGTTTCTAAGTTATCTATTCAGTTACCACATATTATAGATGAGGTCACTGGTGCCCGTGGATGTGAAATACCTGGATAAGGTCACATAGTTAGAAATAGCTGAGCCCAGAATTTGAGTTTCCTGATTAGAAATCAGCATTGGGTATCCTGATTAGGAAGTAACATTAGATTAGCGTTCTTTCTATGCCATCGGGTAGTAAGTACATTGTAGTTTTCATCTGGTTAGTAAGGGAGAACAAAAAAGAAATCATGGAGAAGCTTAGAGAAAATGCTGTGAATTTAAAAGTTAACCAGAGTAGCCAGGTACTATCAAAGGTCCTGTTAATTGTCCCTCTTTTGGAGAACAAATCAAAGATAAATGACTCAGCTATGGCAAGGGAGATTTGAATAATCAAAAGGGAATCTTTTAGGACAACCTAGGATTGCTGGACTTGATTTTATACTGGTCAGAAAGAGAGATCTCTAAGAAGATTTTAGCTGTAAGAAAGGTGTGTTTAGGGATTATTGGGCAAGATAACCTAGGCTTTCATGGAAGATTCTGAATGCAAGTGCAGTTAATCTGCCAAAGGATATTATAAGTTAATGTCTACCTTAAACTCAGCAGTATGCTAGAAGGTGAAATATGATTTTCAGTGAGTTTACAGTCTTGCTAAGAAGAGATGAACAATATGTTCCTGATAAATTTTAAGATTCATGTTCCTGAGTTAGTATAGATAATTGGGTTCTTAAAAGTATAGGAAAAGTATAGGTTCTCTTCAGATTTTCATCAGACACAAACATTCATTTCTGCAGAGAATTTAATGATAAAGCAGTCATGTCATGTGGTTATTCAAGCAAAAATTAAATTCTCACAAACTAGCACTATACTGTCTTTATGGTTTGGAGCATAGTTCTTTTAGTTTGATAATAGTTTCTTACTCTGTCAGTGTTGATTTTATTCTGTATAGCCTCAAGTTTTAAAATTAAGCCAACAGATAAAAGTTGCAGAGAGATTTCAGAAAGAAAATTTGTCAATAGAACCATCTCCCTATAAAGCAAAGTGATGAGATCCTCATCACTCAGTAGCTACTTATCAGGTGTTTTAAATGATGAGCGTATAAAGACCCCTTCTAAGACTAATTCTTAAGATTTGTGGACTTGGTATTTTCCCTTTCTCACCATCAAATCCATTTCTTTGACCTGGCTTGTTAGACTATATTTCATGCTATCCTTTTAAGACTGCTGCCATGAGTTATCTGCTAGGAATTGAAATGTAATCCTGTTGTTTCATTCGAAGTGTCACCATGGAAGCCTTGAACAGTGGAAACCCTCAACTCCAGAAACAAGATGAACCAACTTGGAAACCTGTAAAGTTAACTGGGCCGGGCCAAGGAGAGGTAAGCATTGAATTTTGTTTTATTTATCTCGTATGCAAAATAGGTGCACACTGTTTTGGAAATTACTGTTCTTGTAGTTAGAACACTTCATTTACTCATTTACTCCCAAGTGTTTATAGAAAAAGAAGCCATGAGTTAAGTCTGTTATACTCAGAGAGGAATACTTCAGGCAGGGAAGAATGCCTACAAATCCAGATTATATTTACAAAAATGGAATTCTAAAAGAAAAGAAGGCAATTTATGCAGGTGACTTTGGTGACGTATTATGGCAGTGAAAAATGACTTCCTTGGCTATGGAGAAGAACAGTGTGGATTTAGCTTCCATTCTTATTCTTTGTCCAGAGTAATGAATATGGATTGCTTTTGGTTATGGCTGTCACTTCTAGTGGAAAAGGCATGGGGCGGGAGGGGATGTTTCAAGAAATTCATGAGCTCTCTGATGTCTTTCATTGGCATCATCTCCCAAAAAATCAAAACAAAACATTGTTGTGTTATTTGTTTTATCATTTGGTCAAGCAGGTTGCCAGACCGGCCCATAAAAAGAAAGCTCGAATGGCGCGGACGCGCTCCGATTTCTTGACTAGAGGTACTTTTGCCGATGGGGAGGGGGATACAGAGGAAGATGATTACGATGACATTATTGAGCCCCTTCTCTCCCCTGACCAAGCTTCTCACTCTGAGCTAGGGCCTGCACCCAGCCTGGGTCAGGCCTCTCACAGTGACTCCGAAATGGTAATTTTATAGCAGTATAAGAAAAATAGGGAACAAGCAAATCTGATGGAAATAGTCTTTGCTAATCTAAAGCTAACCTTCACAGCTTCTTCTCCATATATAATGGTTTGTACGTGGGAAACCTCAGTGAACACAGCAACTAACGCTAAACCTTAATTTAACAGGACTTGGATTAGGGCACTTTAGCACAGTATATGTCAGTTAAATCATAAGTTAGGCAAAAAATATTAAAATTACTTAGCACTAATGTAGAAGTTTTCTGTGTTCTATCTTAAAGGTTTCTAGAACAGGAGCCTCAAACTTTTTTTGTAAAGGGCCAGATGTTGTATATTTCAGACTCAATGGGTCATACAGTCTCTGTTGGAACTAGTTAATTCTGCTATTGTAGACTGGAAACCACTGTAGGCAGTAAGTGAACATAGGTGCATGGCTTTTTTACAATAAAACTATTTACAAAAACAGGCAATGAGCTTTATTTGACCTGCTAGCCATAGTTTCCTGATCTCTCTGTGGTCTAGTGAGTAGAGTTTATGTTAAATAATCCAGTAGCTTTTAACTGAAATAATATTCTCTCATTTTCTCTCTCTTTTTTTTTTCATTTAAACCTGCTTCCCCTCTGCATTTTTTTAGTAATAAAAAATAAACATGAATTTTTTAAAAATTTAATGAGAAATGCTAAAAATATCTTCCTGGACCAACCCAGCCAACTAAAAGGCTGTAGATAATGTGGATTTGTATTAATCACAAATTATTAACATTATGTTTAAAGCTGCATATATAAAATAGCTTTATTATCATATCTCAGCCCAAATTAGGTACATATAATTTGATAAGTTTGAGTGTATTTATGGATATAAAGTGTTTGATTTTGGAATTGGCCTGGGAAATACAGTAGGAGTACCCTGTATGCCTATTATGTACTAAATGTTATCACCGAGGAAGTAGAGTGATAGGCGTTTTATTTCCATGAATATCCTTAATTACGTTAGTCTCTAATGTTCTTTTGTAGTATCTGTTCATTACGGGAGGAACATTTTAGGGTGCTCTTCTGTTGACGCATTAAATGTTTTCTCTTTGAATGGCTTTAAGCTGTTTCAGGGCTGCTCTGGTGGCTCAGATGGTAAAGAACCTGCCTGCCGTGTGGGAGACACAGGTTTGTTCCCCGGGGCGGGAAGATCCCCTGGAGAAAAGAATGGCGGCCTGCTCCAGTATTCTTGCCTGGAGAGTTCTGTGGGCAGAGGAGCCTGGCTGGCTCACGGGGTGGCAAAGAGTCAGACACACCTGGACCACTAACACTTTCACTTTTTTTTTTTTAAACTTTCAGGCTGTTTGTACCGAAGACCTAGTTAATTAAAGTTATCATTACGTTCCAGAATAATCTCATTGTCTTTATCTCTTGTTGGAGATAGACCCAGTTTTTAAATGATAATATGGATATTCTAAGGAAGAAAAAATAAAATCACCAATAAAAATATAAAAATGCACAGCCAGTTATCTAATTAGACTAATGAATCATTACCCTGAACCAAATGGTAAAAGTTGCTCAGCCTGTATGTTCATTAATATATCTAGTTAGAACCAAAGATTTCTCTTTAGTGTAGGATTAAATTTCTCCACTTTGGAGATGGCCCTATTTTTGAGTGATAATTATTGAAACGTATTCTGTCATATGCTTAGTTGATTGAAGATGAAATCATGTAATGGAGCAAACTAATTTTAATGAAAAAACACTGCTATATATTTCTAGTATAAATAGGGAACATACTTAAATTATTCTCCAGTTTTTGTCAAAGAATTTAGCATTTGTAATTGCTGTTTTGTTCCTGAGAGTTTCCTGTGATACAAACCTTAGTCCTTTCGGTGGTAGAACTCTTTCTGGGAACTCTTCTTGAGATGAGCCAAGAAGCTGGGCTTTCTGCTTGGGGCATTCAGCCCCTGTGCGGGTTCTGTGCGGCAGCCCCCGCCTGTGGTTGCGTCCACCTGCTGACGATCACTGCATGCCAGTAGTTGTAGAGCGCCTCCCGCACAGTGTACCGGTCACCTCTCCAGCTTTCTCCCTGTCCTGTGTTTCATCACGGCTATTTTAGGAGTAGGTTGTGGTGTTTGTTTCTGGTGGACACTTGCATGAAGAAGCTTTGCTTTCTCTAGACTATGCTGACAATTACTTATTGGGGTTGGGGGTGGGAAGGGTAGGGACAGTTTTAAAGTATGTTTCTGTTTATCTGAAAATATGCCATGTTCTAATGTTACCTGATATTGTGAAAATGAAGACTCATTATTTCTAACTGAAATCTACTGAATTATCAAAATCTGAATATCTTCAGGGTTGTAAATGGTCTTGATTTTCTGGGCACATGAATTTTTTAAAAGCTGGATAGTTTTGTTTTTTTTTTCTGGACAAAGTGACTTAGTGACTCTGACATTTGCTGAGGAGTGTGTCATTCCTCAAGGAGGCCATCAGCTGACCTTTCCATGGGTGAGATCACTGATCCTAATGAGATAAAAACAGTTAGATATGCATGCCCTCAAGGGGATTTGATAAGCATCACCTCTGGAGTTGACAAATGGGTAATTAGTTGTTGCCTGCAGTGAAGGAGTGGAAGTGAGAGTAGTGGTTTCTGTCTCTATGACCTTGGTTTTCTTTTGTTTTTCTCTGCTTTTAACTCTGCCATTTGAGTAACTGTTTAGGCTCTGTATGCTGCTTTCACTGGGTTTTTATACACACCATGGTGACTCAGAGGTTAAAGCACCTGCCTGCAATGTGGGAGACCTGGGTTTGATCCCTGGGTCGGGAAGATTCCCTGGAGAAGGAAATGGCAACCCACTCCAGTATTCTTGCCTGGAGAATCCCATGGACATGGACTGTAGCCCACCAGGCTCCTCTGTCCATGGGGTTGCAAAGAGTCGGACACAACTGAGCAATTTCATTTCACTTTTCACTTTATGTTGGTTTTTACCCAAGAACATCAACATATTCTGCTAAGCAACATTTTAAAGATAGCTTTCAGATAGCTTTTTATTTAATCTCTGAATCGTATGGATGGTGAGTTAATAAAATCATTTCTACCCCTCATTTGTAGGATTGATAGAGGTAACAGAGTTTTCTCGTATAGTTTCTTCTGCCATTCCCTACACTTAAAGCAGTCATCTCCATGGGTCTGACTCCCAAACAGTTCTCCAGAATTTGTTGTCTTTATCTCCTGTATGATAAAACTGAGTTTTTCATTTCCCCCCAGAATTACTGTACTTCTTACGAACTTCCTATTTCTGTTTGTATTTCTCTGAGATACTCTTCACTCCTTATCTGTGTTGAATTTTCCTTCTCTTTACTACACAGAAAACTGCCAGAAAAAAAAAAAAAAAACATTGATCAAGCACGGCTAAGTCTGTTAGCTTATTTTACAATAAGGGAAAAGCTACCTCGATTAAGTCTTAGTAATTTTTAAGAAAGGGGAAGTCAGGAAAGGATATTTATAATATTTTAGGACCTAGGCTAGTGATTTTGAGATGAGTATTGCAAGTGGGAAAACTGGTGAATTGAACAGTTTATGGCATAGAAAGTTTAGATTGGTGGCCCCAGGACAGCAGCTTATTGCATACACTTAATATTTACTTATTTTTTAACATACTATTTTCTATTTTATATTGTTTAATTTCCTCAAGCCTGTTAGGGCTCTCTGGTTTTCAGTTTTGTTATTCAGATTTTCATTAATTTTGCTTTACCCCCCTTTGACTGTACCTCTCAGCTTGCAGGATCTCAGTTCCCTGAATAGACCTTGAACCCCTGGCCATGGAGTGAGATCCTAACCACTAGGCCACCAGGGAACTCCCTTCACTTAGTATTTATATGTGTATTTTATTCCCCCCCCAAAAATCAGAGGACAGCATTGCCACTTTCTGCTGTTTGATTTGGTAGAATTTTCCTATGAAACTATCTGGGTTGGCACTTTTTTTGTAGCATAAGTTCCTCTATTTCTTCTAGGAGAATTAGCCTTTAAAGCTTTCTGTCTAATAAGGTCAATTTTGGCAACTAGTTTTTTCCATTTCATTGTTCAGATTTAGTTGCATAGAGGTCTATAAGGTAGTCTCATGGTTTTAAAAAAATCTGTTTCAGTGGTTATTTTCCTTTTGTCTGTTCTTATTTCATAGATTTTTTTTTCTTTACCTAGTTATTTGTCTATTTTGTTAATTTTTTCCAGAGTAACAGGATCTGGCTTTATTTATCATGTTTCCTTTTTTTTCATTCTCCACTGATTTCTGTTTTTACCTTATGTTTATTATTTATTATATTTTCTTTTGGTTTACTGTCTTATTTTTCTAGTCTTTGAGTGAGTAACTTTTCATTTATTTTTATTGATACAGGTTTTTAAGGCTATGAATTCTCCTCTGATCACACTTCAGATGTATCTCATTTATTTTAATGTGTAAAGACTTGGTTATTTTAAAGAAAATCTGTAATTTTAGTTTATATTTCTTTTCTTACCTGAAACTTGTTTAATAAAAATTTTTTAGTTTTCAGATGAAGAGCCTTTTTGTTTTTAAATCTTTTTTAGTTTCTAGTTTTATTGTATTCTGATGAAAGACTGTTTATAATGCTTCTGTTTGATCAAATTTATTGGTATTTTCTTTGTTACGTAGAATATGATCAGTTTTTATGAATGTTCCATGTGCATTTTTTAAATTGAAATATATATGATTGCAGTATTATGTTACTTTCAGATATACTATGTAATGATTTGGCACTTGCCTGCATTTTGAAATGATCACCATCATAATTTTAGAGTCATCAATCCCCATACAAGGTTATTATAATATTGCTGACCATATTCCTTGTGCTCTATACACATACCCATGACTTGTTTATTATTGAACTGGATGCTTGTATCTTAATCTCAAAACCTACACCTCTTCTGCCCACCCCTCCTTCCCTCTACTCCCTTCTGGCAACCACCTATTAGTTCTTTGTATGTATGAGTTCTTTTTCATTTTGTTTTTGTTTTTTAGAATCCACATGTGAGAACATGCACTTTTTGTCTTTGTCTTTGGCTGATTTCACTTAGTAGAATTCCCTCTAGCTCCATACATGTTGTCTCAAATGACAAGAATTAATTTTTATGGCTTAGTAATATTCCACACACATATGTGTTAATTTATATATATACCACATCTTTTTTATCCAGTCATCTACTGGTGGGCACTTTGCTACTTCTGTAACTTGGTTATCATAAATAATGCTGCAATGGACGTTGGAGTACGTATATCTTATATTAGTGTTTTTTTCCCTTTGGATAAATACCCAGAAGTGGAATTACTGGATCATATCGTAATTCCACTTTTAATTTTCTGAGGACCTTCCATGCTGTTTTCCGTGGTGGCCATACCAATTTACATTCCCACTAATAGTGAATGAAGGTTCTCTTCTATCCATATCCTTGCCAGCACTTGTTACTTGTTGAAAGTGTGTTTGATAAGGTGTATTGTCTATTCAGAGTGTAAAATTTCAGTATACATGCATAATCTCTACCTTACTGATAATGTTATTTGTCTTCTATATCATTATTTTTTATCTGTCTTATATCAGATGAATGTTAGTGTTATTCTTGTTACTCATTGTGAATTGTACCTCTTAATATTAAAAATTGTCCTTTGTCAGCTTCCCTGTATTTTTGCTTGAATTTTACATTAGTAATATCACAGCCTCCGTTTTCTTATTATATCCATTTGCCTAGAATACTGTTGTTCGTCCTTTTAACTTTAGCTTGTCTGGATCTTTTTGTTTAGAGGTATGTTTTTTATACAATATAGTTGGGCCCTGCTTTGTGAGCCAAATTAAAAAATCTTTCCCTTAGTAGGTGAGTTAAATCTATTCATGTTTATTGATGAAAGTGAGAGATTAATTCTCAACCTGCAATTTTGTTATTATCATGTCAAATTTGCTGTCTTCATTTTTTTTTCTCTTTTATTTTTTTAAATTTCTTTTGATGTTTAGCAAACATTCTGTTCTTGTTCTGTTGATTGTTTACTTTTATATGTAACTTTAAAAAATGCCTTTAATATTTTTAAGTTTAATCAGTAATACTCTAATTAGTCATTTTTGAATGAGTAATATTCTTACCTATTGTGGCACAACTATTGGTGAATTATTCTAGTCTCTACTCCCTTCTACTCCTTTCTACTTTGTCAGAATATGTAATTTTGTATACAATTCTTTCACCATAGTCCCCACCATTGTTTTTGTCTTCGATCTACAATTAAATGTATTAAATTATCACTTCAAATATTTTGCAGAAGTTTCCCTGTTTATCTCTTGGTTGGACGAAGCTCTTCCCTTAGATTACTCAAAGGGCCATCGATATGGAATTCCCTGAGATCTTTCTATGGCCTTGATATTTGAAGGGACATCTTGGCTACATATAAAGTCCTTGATTCATATTTTCTTTTTCTGAGTTATTTGAAAATGCTATTTTATTATTGTCTTACTTTGTTTGTTATTGTTGGTAAGTCTATTGCCAGTCTAAATCTCTTGCCCTTATAAGTTATTTGATCTTTTTACTTGCAGACCTTGAGAATTTTTTCTTTAAAGTTTAGTCTATGTCTTTAACTTGATCACTACTGATTAATTATCCTGTATATCTAGATTTATCAGGTCCTGTATCTTTTGTCTCTATCTGTAGATGGTTTTGGTTTTTCTCTTACTTTTCCATTTGATACTCTTTTTTTTTTTCCATTCACCCTACTTGATGTTGTTTGCTAAATTGTCAGAAAACATGAGCTGGTATTTCCCATTTAGCTTTTTTATTGACCCAAGTGCCCTTTACTTTAGATTACTGTTTGAACTTCATGGAATTTTTAGTAGGTTCTTTTATTTTAATGAATCTCTGAGTAATATGAATGTATTTTTGTATGTTTTTAATAGATGTAATTCTAAAATAATTCTGTAATCTGAGTTTTAATTATAGTGCTATGATAATAATTACTTGGTTTTGAAGTCTTTACATATGTAATTATTACAGACTTCACAGCGGTTTTCTTCAGTTGATGAAGAAGCAAAGCTTCATAAGACCATGTCTCAAGGAGAGATTACGAAGTTGGCAGTGAGACAGAAGGCTTCAGATTCAGATATAAGGTATAAAGCATACACTGAAAGTTAATAGGGGTAATATAATTTTATTTACTAATAGACTTTAGCTAAATACCGAGCATCTTTATAAAAGCATAATTCATAGAACAGCTATCAATTTCAAAAGTTTTGAAATTCATTTTTCAGCAAATACTAAGCACTTACTCTGACAGAAACAAACAGTTCAGATATATATAGTAAACTTTGTCTTTTTATATGTTTAGCTCTGTGATTTGGGCAAAATCTTTTTTTTTTCTTTTTTTTTGATCACACTGTTTGGCCTGTGAAATCTTAGTTCTCTGACCAGGGGTCAAACCCACACCCCCATGCAGTGGAAGTGCAGTCTTAACCACCAGACCACCAGGGAAGTCCCAGGGCAGTCTTAACATCGTTATATGACTTAGGGTTTTTGGTTTTAAAAGAAAAGACATTAGATGAGATGAGAGTGAAAATATTTTCTGGTTTTGGACTTGAATTCTGCTCTGAGTTAAGTATTTTACAAATGGAACTGGAAAAAGCTTTCAGGAAATAACTGTTCTTTTTAGGAAAGTATTTGAAGTTTTTATTTATCAAGAGTATGTCTTTGTCCCTTATCGTATTATGTAAGGCAGTTGGGTCCTCACTGAACACTTGAATATCACATTGAATATCTGTCTGGTTCGTAACCCTGTTAAAGATCACTTTCTCAATGACTGTAGAGGCATAATCCAAGGTAACCCAAATCTAGAGCAGACTATGCTGGAGATGAAAGTTTGAGAATCAAAATGTAATATAGTAGAAAAATATACAAGTGGAGATAGCAGATTAAATACATAAATTTAATTTCCACATCTTCCTAAAATAACCTATATAGGACAAAAGCAACAGCAGCAACAAAGCAACAGGAGACAGAAGTAATAAAAATGTGGAATCCAAAAGGTAAATAGACAAATTTAAAATGTCTTAATAGATAGGAGAAAGCTAAATCTTAAGCCAACTGAGAAAGAAGCATCTGACTGGCTGATCTTCCCCAACCCTAGCAGAAAATAGGAGATATATTTTCTGGGAAGGATAAAACAAAAGATTTCTGCACTTGAAGGTAACCAGATATACTTGAGAATTGAGGTACATATTTGGAACCAGGGGAATTTTGTGAATGTTTACATACTGAATGTTAAGATCCCCCAAATTTTATTCTGTATTCAGCTCCCATGTTTCACATACTCTCTAAGCAGATGATTCAAAGAGTCTTTGGGACTTTGGTCCAACCCTCAAGAAAGACCTAAAGATAGTGATATCAGCCAGATAACCCTGCAAGGGCGACCACAGTTTGGAAGCCCCACTAATGCACACTAGAACTTCCAGGCATGTGAAAGTGAAAGTCGCTCTGTCGTGTCTGACTCTTTGCAACCCCATGGACTACAGACCATGAAATTCTCCAGGCCAGAATACTGGAGTGGGTAGCCTTTCCCTTCTCCAGGGGACCTTCCCGGCCCAGGGATCGAACCCAGGTCTCCCACATTGCAGGCAGATTCTTTATCCGCTGAGCCACAAGGGAAGCGCTTCCAAGCATGATCACCACACATTTGAGGAGCCATCTTAAATGAAAGAAACTAAAATTAATTGATAAAATATAACTTGGAAGAAATAAACTATACAGGGGAAAGAAAACTTCAAGACAAATACATAAAACTATCAGTAGATCTACTGCATAAAGAAATACAGCTATATTCATGAAATTAGAATAGTTGAAAGGAAAACATTCATAATAAAAAAAGAGCATTTGAAAATTGAAACTGCAATAGCATAAAGAAGTCCAAAGCATGAGAAAGATAGTTGATATCTCTCAGAAATTTGAACAAAATGACAAAGGGAAAGAAGAGGCAAGAAAAGAGAAGAAAATTAGAGGAGCAGTTTAGGACATCCAGGGACTCACTTGTAAGAACTCTGGAAAGATAAGACAAAGAAAATGCAGAGGAGCAAATCATTAATAAAGTAATTCAGGTAAATGTCACAGAATTGAAGGACTTGAGCATCTAGATTGACAAGGCTCAACATAATGAATGAAAGTAAACCCATACCAAAAGACATGTCGTCACAAAATAGTAGAGACAAAAGAAATCTCCGTTATGATCCTGAAAGTAGCTTTACAAATGATGGTTGTACAGCAATCACAGAGGGAACCATGCCAGATTAGAGCAGGTTAGAAGGCTCTGGGAAAGATTTCTTTAAGAACACAGAACTGATGGAGTACCTAACTGTGTTTCAACATATTGAGAGGAGATATTCACAAATGGGGAAACACTTGGAGGTGAACTGAATGTAGAAAAATGAGCAAATATAAAAGAAAACATTAACTCTTAAAAATATGGTTTATATAGGGTACTGTATGCCTCAGTTGTGAATATTATTTACACAGTAAAAAAGGTGAATACTACTAAAAAAAATATATATATAGACCTAACTAAAACTATGATATTCTGTTGTGGGGGAATGTCTGTGTGTGTGGAGGGTATAGAACTGGAGTGTTGGAATGTGCTTAATTTATTATCTGTGGTCACAAGTATGATAGCAATATAAGTTTCGTGAATATTAAAAGAACCATGTAAGTAAATTCTAAAGGGTTGTTTAGGGATCAGAAAAGGGATAAGAATAGCAGGAGAAAAGTGATCATTTGTAATAAGCTTTGTGGAACAATTTCTTTTTTTACCATATAGATGTATAAGTTTAGTAATATGCTATTTAAAAAAAGAGGGCACCATGAATAAAAGAATATTGACTTTCAAAGCAGATAGACCTGATTTTAACTTCTGTCTCTCTCAGCCCTCTGAGCCTCAGGTTTTTCATATATAGTTAGGATAAAAATACTCATTTATCATGGCAGTTGTGAAAAGTAGTCATTGTAAGTAAGGCCCAGTGCCTGGCTTCTAGTAGATGCTCGAAAAAAATTTCTTTTTTGGTAGACAAACATATAAAGGAACCAACACTCAATGTACAAGTAAGCCTCCTAGTACCGAGTTAGGATACATGGGTCAGTAAGCTGTCACTGTCTCAAGATGTTTCCTTGATGTATGTGATGCGAGAGAGTATGTAAGTACTAAGAATGAGGCAGTGTTGCATAGTAGGTATGATCCTCCACTTTGTCACTCACTGGCTGTGTAACCTTGGGAAAGTCACCTGATATTTAAACCACCAGTTTCTTACCTGAAAACTGTTTATGGTTCGAATGTAAATTTGTTGTTATAGGTTATTTAAGGTAACTCTACACAAGTACTTATGCCTGGAGCATAAGTACTTACATGATAATATGATTATATGATAATAACTGATATGAATGGTGGTTTTGTTAACATATCTGGATCTCATTTCTGTTTTCAAGATGAGGAGACTATCATTTACTTCCTAGATGAAGTTTAACTGTACAGTTGAAGATTAAATATGACTTAAGCTTAACTGTGAAGGTTAAATGAGTTAATTCACATGAAAGTTGTTTATGTAACTTAAAGTGATATACAAATAATGTCAATAGGACATGCTGATTGCCATTTTTACTTTTTTTTTTTTTTTTTGTAAACAGACCTCAGAGAGCTAAGATGAGATTCTGGGCCAAAGGGAAACAAGGGGAGAAGAAGACTACCAGAGGGAAACCTGATACCCACTCAGAGGTTTCAGCACTCTTCGCTGGCTCAGATATGATTCCAGCTCATCAGTTTCCAGATGGTAAAAATGGACAAAGGGTGGAGATTGTCTTCATAATTTCTGTTTACTCATTCTGAAAGTTTACTATCCCTCTAGTATTTGTAACAGTAATCCTCTTGGCAAGATATTCTAGTGAGATAGGACCAATATTTTAAATCCTTCCTTAACTAAAAGATAATTATAGAATTACATTTTACCTATAAGAGCAGTTTCAAGGAAATACGGCACCAAAACAGTGAAGTAACAACAACGTCAAGAACAATTCCGAATTTTTGATTAGCCTCAGTTTTCTAAAGTGTAAAAATTTAGCCACCATTCATTCACCTAACAAATATGTATTCCTAGTAAAAATTAATAAGATAATAGCAGCTAATATTTGATTGTTTACTATGAAAAAGGCACTGTACTAAGCATTTTGGATGTATTAACTCGATCCTCACAACCATTTTTTGAGGTTGGTATGATTATTTTTCCCACTTTACTAATGAGAAAGCTGAGGCACAGAGAAGTTACTTGCTTATACACGTATAGCAGTTGTTAGAACTGAGATCTGAATTCAGGCGATCTGGCTCCAGAGTCCGTATTCTTAATTGTTGTGCTAAAAGGTCTACTATATGTCAGTTGCTAGGACTCTATAATGATAGCTATTATTTTAATTTTGGGGCATCAATCATAGTACATAACAAGTACCCAACAGTTAGTTCATCTGTTGATATGGTCTCTCTAAATGCTAGAATTACTAACTCTCCAAGGATTCAGTAATCCCAGCATCTGAAGATTAGCCTTTTCTCTCCAAGCTCTTTGCTCAAGCATGTGTGAGTGTTTTTAATTACTATGTAAAGATGCCAGCTATCTTCAATAGGGGGGATATACATAGAGGTGGCTATGTGGTAATGAGTGGGTAAAATACCAATGAGTGGGTGAAATGTCAGTATTGAATAAAATAGAAGTAGGCCCTAGGAATAAAATTATTATCTCTAAGTAGAAATAGAACAGACCAAGTTAAAATAAGTAAACAAAACTTGTCACACCTAAGCTGAAATAAAAATAAAGGGACAGAGGATAAGATAAGATCAAGGGAGGAAAGATGATCAAGTTTCACAGAGGCATGGATCAACCAGAGCAGAAGCACCTGTGTGTCAGAGGGAAAACTGGTAGAAATTTAATTAGAATCCTGTTTTTCTGTCTTGTTACTTTGCTCCTATCAGTTTGCAAACTGGTATGGATAAAACCAGTAGTAAATTAAGTGAATACTACAAGTTCAGTTTGGAAAATTTGAAATTCCTACGAGGATCCATTTCTTATGTTTTATCTGTTTTATAGTAGTCATTCTAAATTTTTCATTTTTCACAGTTATATTCTCTACTGCTTATTTCCAAGAAGGAATTAGGAAATTCTTTGAGTGTTTGCTTAATAAGGATACATGTGTAAAAATTAAAATTGTACCTTTTTATTTATCTTTGAGTAAAGATTTATTAAGGTAGCCCTTGTTTTTAAGGCTGAACTAGGATTATAGACAGTTTCTTTAGTAACCATTATTTCTTTTAGTATTAAGAAAGATATTGTTTGTTAAATGAAATAACTAGATACTTGTATGTCTAGGTTATATAATGGAATTAATATCAGTTGACACCAGTTTGAATATACTTGTATCCTCTTTATATCTTCATATTTTTTTGTTCTGGTGCCATATCTGAAATTTAGTTTGTCTCATTTCCTGCCTATTGTGGCATTTAGCATATAGAAGCCTACTTGTTTCCCTTTATTATCAGAATTAAGCTTTTAGATGGAATGAGGATATACCATTGGCCAAAAGATAAGGTAAATACATGTGAGAGAAACAGGTATGTGAAATGGGACCAACATTCTCATCAAGCCCCAGGTAGGCATTGGCAAGTCCAGTGTAGTTCTAGATTCCAGTGGACTACATGGAACCAAATTTCTCTGGTATAAACAATTGCAGAAAAAATTTGTTGTATTTTTCCAATATTATATACAAAACTGGTTCAGTCCAGGAATTGTCTGAGAAATCAATACAATCTGGGGGGAAGTATGCATAAGAAAGAAAATCCTAAATAGTAAAGAGACCTAAGCAGAAGTGAACCAATTGAGTTAACTTGCTCCCTAAATAGAGGTTGCCAGGCTAACACCAGATATTGTCACTAAAACATTTATGGCTTTAGACCCTAGTAAAGAAATAATACTAATTATCAAGCTTCACTGACTTATTGGATTTGTATAAGCTGCTTGTTCTTTCAAAACAGATGTAGTAAAGCTCTGACTGGGTTAGCAGTCAACATTTAACATCCTCGTGTGATTTGTATGCTTCTTTTCTTTGGGACTGAGATCTTTGGAATCCAGGCTTCAGTTGTATACACCACTTCCATCCAGGTTTTCAGTATCAGACCTCATCTCTTTGGGACACCTGATAGCATTTCTCATTGGAAAGTGATAATTCTTAAAATAAATTTTCAGTACAGACGTACAATCTGGATTTATTGCCTAACTGCCTGACCCCAAACATTAATGTTACTTTTCAGATATTTACTTACTTCCTTTAGTGACTTGAAGAGAAGGTGTGGAGATTTCAATATTTTTACTAAAAAAAATTTTTTTTTGGATACTCTATCTTGGTTTACAGAATTATCTCATAATCACCCAACACCTCCTTTGAGTCCGGAATTGCCTGGGAGTTGCCGAAAGGAATTCAAAGAGAACAAAGAGCCTTCTCCAAAGGCAAGGCGCAGGCGAAGTGTGAAGATCAGCAGTGTGGCTTTGGAGTCTATGCACTGGCAAAATGACTCTGTCCAGATTATAGCAAGTGCTAGTGATTTAAAAAGCATGGATGAATTTCTTCTGAAAAAGGTATTCAGGCCCCTAAGCAACTTTGACTGTTGAATGCTTGTGTATCAGGATATGCCCCCTAAAGTATGTATGCTTCAGTAAGTTAGAGGGTCTGTTTCTTTATCAGAAATGTGCAAATCATAGGACATGCATGAGTCAGACTGAGTAGACAGAATTTAAGGTTTTAGGCTTTACTTTTGACTTCACTTTTACTGCAGCTGTCATGTTCACTCCATATGTTAAGGTGAGGTTTGTCATTGTACACTTTGAGTTGTTTTCCTGGTAGCAAAACTATTGAATTATACAATATTAGAAGAGACCTTAGAAATTGTATCATAGTAATAAAACTTTGGCTGTCTAGTCATGTTTATATCTGGGTCCCATGATAATTTGCCCTTTCAGGATGGTCATTGTTGAAGAAACAATGTGTGTCCAGTGTGGCATTCACTTCTTTTCAATTTAGTTGATTGTGTACAAAAACTCTTTCTGTGGTCCCCAGATGAATGACCTAGATAATGAAGACAGCAAGAAAGACACACTAGTGGATGTTGTATTCAAGAAAGCCCTGAAAGAATTTCGGCAGAATATCTTCAGCTTTTATTCGTCTGCATTGGCGGTAAGTTGGACTGTGTCAGGAGATATTCAGAAGTTCAACATATGAAAAATTTGGCAACACCATACAAATAATACAGGGCCATATTCAACTAGAGATTTCTCCAGTGTCTTCTCTTAGTTTTAGGGATAGATATGGAAAAGCATACTGATTGACCTCTGGCTAATAACACCCTTTAATTTCCTTGAGCAGCCTTTTTCCCCCTCCTAGGGGTATATTTTCATCTTCTTAGGATATTAAATTCAAATACTCTAGCTATGATTATTTTTCACTCAGTGGCTCTCTATTTTTGACTTCTTGTGATCCTTTTAGCTCTGGATCCAGCTTCTAATTCTCATTTATGTTGGAATTACTATACTTTTTTATCCTGTGGAATTAGAGTAGTTTATGTTTAATAATCTCTGTGTGACTTTTTTTTCACTTTTACTTTATCTCATACTTTCATATGATGTTCATGTTTTAGAAAATTTATTCCTGGTGCTAAAATATATAGTAACTAATGCTTTTGATCTATAGAAAATTAGTATTTCTTGAATTGCTATATTTATTCTATAAAAATAATTTGCATTTAATTGATTTTTCTTTGTTCAACCTATACTTTTATGTGAAAAGTGAGAGAACTTTCCTGTGTATCTTCCACTCAGTATACGGGTTTTTGGCCTTTTGCAAATAGAAACCAGACAGTCTTAGAGAACAGTAATTTCATGACCTTAATAAAGTAGTACGTAGACTATGACAAATGACTGGGTTTGGGTAGGGACAATATTGGCCATATTTTTCCAATCCTGCCAACTACTTATCATGCTTCACACCTATATTTTCTAGATTAGGGATCAGTGTGCTTTGAATCACCTAGGAAGGACCAACATTATAAACTGGAGCTTGATAGTGGTTTAATAATCTTGGATCAAAGAGATTCAACCTCTAATTCTGAGGAAGTGAAAGAGAAATAAATTTTAAATGTATATAACATGCTTTGGTCACTTAAATGCTATTTTTTCTTTCTCATGAAGAGTCTATACCTCATTTAAATTTAAAAGGAATTCCATGTAGATCCCATTGCAAGAAATATAGTGTTTTTTAGACATGTCATTCTTCCTTGGAAAAATGAAAAAGTAAAGTTAGTAAAATTTACCTAACATTTCATTAGGCAAGAATTCAAGCATTCACTTTTAAGGCAGAACTATCTAAATAAGGTTCATTTCTGGAGAGATAGGTAATTAAGAGGTATACAAATAATCTTCATACCTAAATATAGTTAAAAAACCATATTTATGGGAGAAATTCCCAAGACTTTCTCCAATTATTATGTTGTTTAAACTGTTAGGTATTTTACTAAAATGTAGCAGGTTTTACTCTGCAAACATTCCATAGCAGAGTGGGAGTTTACAAATACCACATGACCTCTTGGGCATGCCCATTAGAAAGTATAATTTTTATTCAAAATACTACCCAATGAAAATTTAATCAGTCTTTCTCTATATAAAGAATTTCTTCTTAAAATGGCTTATTTTTCTTATTGTTTATTAGGTAGATGATGGGAAAAGCATACGATATAAAGACCTCTACGCACTATTTGAACAGATTTTGGAAAAGACCATGAGACTTGAGCAGCGAGATTGGAGTGAGTCTCCAGTCAGAGTTTGGGTTAACACTTTTAAAGTGTTTTTAGATGAATATATGAATGAATTCAAGACTTTGGAATATATACCCACAAAGGTAAAATATATTTTGATTTCTAAAAGAATTAAATTATGAATTCTTCTTAAGAGTCTAGGACATCTAGTATTTGAGAAAAGCACTGCAGTGAACGTGTCAGCTTTGCACTACTTCAGATCCAGCAAACTCCATTCTCTCTCTTACAAGTTGACCAGACTGTATTATCTAAGCCTTCTTCAATTAATATATTTTTCACTGAATTAAAATATAATGTTGTTAAGAATGCCATTGCTGTAAGATTATACCCTCAGCTTTGCTAGAGGTCAGTAAATTAATTTCATTTTGGAAAACAGTGGTTTTCATCATTTCATTATATCATCTCGTGAGTTTTATGTAAGGACCCATAAATTTCTCCTTGAATTAGGTTTTAGGAAAGAAGAAAGTATATTAGTCTTTATTATATCACAGTTCCTGTATTTCTTTCCCACCAGGTGCCAAAAACAGAGAGAAAGAAAAGAAGGAAAAAAGAATCTGATTTAGTAAGTTGTAATCTGTTTTTCCCCCTGTATTATAAAGTAAGTTTTAGACTAGCAGTCTGAAGTATATCATACAGTATTTTCCTGGGTATATTTAAGGAATAAGTTTATCAGATGTCTAGGGGGTAATCATTTATGCCTTTACAAAAATTTAGAATGACAAATATGTCTTGAATTCCTTGACTTGACTTGTTATTAGTGATGGCTTCCTAAAATGGCAGAAAACTGAAATATTTACTCATGAAAGTTACAAACAGATATGACCCTTTTGCAGAAGTAGGGACTGGGAAGGCGCTTTTTTAGGAGCTGTCTCTCTGTTGTAAAGAATATGAGGACTATTTAGGATTTTACAAAGATAAGTCCTTCTAAATCAAAAGACATTCCCAAAAGCATTTGAGTGTATTTTATCTCATTGTTCATGTTCTGTTCTTTTGTATTGTCTCTATTGCATACTTTACCATAATCTCTGTAATTAGAAGGCTGTGTTAAGCCCCAGAGGAGCTCTGAATCTGCTAGTGAAGGCAGGCATTTAAAAAATTACTAGTTTCATATGTGATAAATATTATGATAGAAATAGTACAAAGTGCTGTTGAAATACAAAGAGAATGAAGGAATACTTTACAGAAGAAAAGATATTTTTGCAGGTTCTTAACAAGTAGGTAGTAGTTTAGACAGGCAGTGTCTAGCCAAAGGAAAAGAGTATGTCCAAAGACAGGTGAATGAAAAACCTGGCATGTTGAGCCAGTAGCTTTAACAGGTTTGAGTATTGCATGTTTATAGGGGAGCTAGAAAAGAAGGTAGAACTCTGGTAGGTACTCTGCCTTCAAAATATATCTAATATTTGACCATTTCACATTGCCTCCACTGCTATTACAATTGTCTAATACACTATATGAAAGTGAAAATGTTAGTCGCTCAGTCGTGTCCAACTCTTTACAATCCCATGGACTATAACCTACCAGGCTCTTCTGTCCATGGAATTCTCCAGGCAAGAATACTGAAATGGATTGCCATTCCCTTCTCCAGGTTATAGAACCCAGGTCTCCTGCATTGCAGGCAGATTCTTTACCATCTGAGCGACAGGAAAGTCCAGTACACTATGTGTTGTGTCCTAATTGGTCTGCCTTCTTATATTCTTCTCCCCTTACAGTTTTCCAAATAATAGCCCTAATGACCATTTAAAAGCAGAAATCAGGTCATGTTCCTCCTCTACTCAGATCTCACAAGTAACTTCCAGTGTTACTCAGAATAAAATCCAGAGTTCTTACCGTCTGTAAGACTTGACATCATCTTGATCGTGACTTCTATAAGCTTCATTTCCTCCCACTCCTCCCCCACTCCCTCTGCTTCAGCTACGTTTGCTGCCACCATCTTCTCTTACTTCTCCTCTGGTTGTTCCCCTTCCTCCTCCTAACTTCTTCACTTTCCCCTGAAAATGTTAAGCTTTAGGACCTACAGAACCTGGATTCACCCCTGCCAATGGCAGATTCTAATCCTAGAATATTTATTGTTAACCTTATTAATAAATCAGGATTATAAATCATTCCCTATCATTTGTAAACCAAATTCTGAGGTTCTTTAGATCATTTCTTGTCACTTTTCCACTGTGTGTTTTAAAGACTCATGATCTGATTCTATTTTTAGCATGATCTTGCTTCTTAAGAACTGAATCCTGAAAGTAGGGTATCTAAACCCTTTAGCCTGGCTTATTCTTATTCACCGATGGAGGGTTTTCCAATTGAGAAACCTTAGACAACTTAATCCTTTTGAGACTCAATGTCCTCATGTATATAATAGGAGTATATATTATATAAAACAGGAGTAATGCCACCTACCACTGAGAATTTTTGAGATTGTATATGAAGGAAAGGGTAGGCAAGGCAGAGGAATAGTAGGAAGGTGCCTGTTATTAACAGGTAATGTTTAGGCCTTTTATGCATTTTAAGCCTTATAAGAGTAGTCTTTTTCATGTCTATATGGGAGAGAACAATGCCTGAAGACAGAAATGAGTAAAAGCATATGACATTTAAAAAAAAAAGAAAATTCATTAATTCAACAGCTGTTATATTTCAGGGCCTGTGATAAGTGCAGGTAATAGAAGGAAATATTAATAAATATATAAATAAATGTTTATACTTAAGAGCATTCAAGTTAAACAACAGTGATTTTCTACTTTGTCCATCTATGAGCAAAACTAAAAATAAATTAGTTACCTGGAAAGATAAATAAATATATAGATATTTTTCCAGTACTGCAAATAGGGGGTTTATTTGCATAACTTTCTTGGAGAAGGTACTTTAATGATGGTATATTAAAAGCCTTAAAAATATTAAAAACTAAACCAAAAAAACTTTGACCCAGCAGTTCTGCATCTAGGAATTTATCCAGTGGATATATCAACTTGTTCATACTGACATGTACCGGCTGTTTATTGAAAAGGAATTGTGATAAATAAACAGAAAAGTGTGAAAGGTTCTTGAGGTTAAAAATTTAAAAACCACTGCTTTTATTTTATTTTATTTTTATTTTTATTTATTTTTTTTTTACAGTTGCAGTGGTTTTTAATACTTAGAAACTTGCCAATATTTAGGTAAAATGTTAAGATAAATTATTTCAATAAAACCACTGCTTTTAATTTAACATGCTGATTCAGAGTTGTATAAGACAGCTCTTATATGTTTATAGCATTGTTTTCTGATTTTCATATAAGTTGGTCTTGTCTCTCTACTAGATTGTTAGCTTTTTGAAAGCAGGGATCATATCATTTACCTTTATTTCTCAGAAGATCACAATTCTCCTCCTGGAATAAGTGCCCAATGAAGACAACAAGGAATTGAAGGATTTCCTATTGCCTGACATGTTAGGGCAGCATTTACTGTGTTGGATTTGACATAAATAGCTGTATTTTTTCATTCAGGTAGAAGAGCACAATGGTCACATCTTTAAGGCCACCCAGTATAGCATCCCTACCTACTGTGAATACTGTTCTTCTTTGATATGGATAATGGACCGAGCCTCTGTTTGCAAATGTAAGTATGAGAGATCTTTGAGGAATGTTTTTAACCACTTGATATTTCCATGAGTTTAACATTAAGGAATAATTCACACTCCCTAATTCTTTAAACTCGTCTCTCATTATACTCCTTTTCACCTGCTCTTTGTAGGCAAATAAGATATTTTGATGTTCTTTGGTCATTGTATTTGCAGCTCACTGTCTGAAATGTTCTTATCCTAGATGTTAGTATGACTTACTACTTCAGTTAATTCATGTCTCCACTAGTATATTAGAGAGCTTTTTCTTACTCTCCTATCTAAAATGCTGCTCTGTCCCCCAGTTCTCCATCCCTTTACTCAGCTTTTCTAGTCTTTATACTACTTGGTGCATCCCTGGTGGCGCAGATGGTAAAGAACCTCTCTGCAATGCAGGAGACCAACTTACCACCACCCAACATGACACTTACGTATTCATTTCCTTGTTTCTCTGTCCCACTAGAATGTCAAGAATTGAATGTCAAGATCAAGAAACTGTCTCATACAGAAGTCTCTTCTGTATCACCAGGGCCTCGAACAGTTTTGGCACATTATAAGTTTTAGTAAATATTTACCAGGTAGTTGGACCTATATGGATGGATGGATGAATTATTGAACAAATTCTTAGATTATAACTAGAAAGATACTTTATTTTACTATAATCCTTTCATCAGAACCTTTAAATCCTAGACTGTGAGTGGAGGTTTTTTTGAGGGTCCACTTGGTTCTGGCTTACAGAGAATCTTTAGCTTTCACTCCTGTCATTCCATATACATCTGCTCTGGTGCTTTTAATAATTCTGTGAAGCTTTGTTTACTAGTGGGCCAGAATTGAATGAGAGGGCTGGGTCCAGGATGACAGTAAGGATGAAAATCATGTTCATCATAGCAAAATCAACACTTGGATATTGCTAGATATGTTCACTTGTTCAGTGATTCAATAGTGGTTTTCCTTTTAAAAAAAAAACTATAGTGAGAGTAAAATAGGGTGTGGTTTTCCATGTACTTGAATGTTTAATGTTAGCCTGATTCCTGTAGGTTTCACATAATTTTCTCTGTGATCTGAAACTGGAAAATATAAAGAATCTGCTTCTTTTTTATGATGTGGGCGGGCTTGCTTTGATTTCTTACTAGGATTAGCTTTCTGTGTGGCTGTGCTGGCGGTTTCACCACTGCAATCATACGGCCTCCCTGCTTGACCTTGACTTTGGAACCCCTCAAACCGAGCTTTAGGAGCTCAAGAAGAATGTTTGGGTGTTGGTTTGCAAGAGCCAGAGCTGGCATACGGAAATAACAGAGGCCACGTGCTTTCTCAGTATTCTCTCGGTGTGCCCTTCCCACCTGCTGCTGCCTGGCCACCCTGTCATCTCCTGGTCCAAGAGCTGATTTCTGCTCTGAACCTTTGATCTCATCTTCTCAGTCACTGTACTGATGTTCTTTATATTCTGGTTCCTCAGAGCTCTACTCTGGACTTTCTAAGAGAGTAAATAAGGCCTTTCTTATAGCCTAATATGCTACCAGATTTGCTTTTATTTTAGTACAGGTCTTTGATATTAACGCTTTTCTTATCCATTGGAATGATTCTTAATAGGTATTGCTTGCATTTTATCAGATCATAGAGCAAGTATAAGAGGGGAACATGAGCATTGGTTTGTGAATCAAACCAAGAAGATAGATAAATATTTTGCTGGGATATGGTGGGGACAAGGAGGAGGGGCAAGCAATCTTGAAAGAATAAAAAGCTTTTTCCCAGACAGTGGTTAGGATTTTTAGGTATGTTTTTCAGCTTCATTTTTCTGAATTGAATGAGTTAAGACCATTTTGTATTCTATTATGATACAAAGTATATGATGCTATAGGAATCTCAGATTTAAAGAAAAAAAAGTATGTTCAAAATAAAGCAGTAAACTTGTTAAGTTTTGCCACTAATATATAGACTTCTGAAAATGTTACATTTTAAACCTGTTTTTCAGTGTGCAAGTATGCTTGTCATAAGAAGTGCTGTCTGAAAACCACAGCCAAGTGTTCTAAAAAGGTAAGAAGTTATTACCTACGAGTAATAAATAACAGGTCTGTTGGAGAATGGTGCAGGAGCAGGAAAGGACAGAAAAGGTCTTTTGTGCCTTGTGGAAAGAAATCAAAGCCTCTTTGGTGATCTTATAGAGTAGTGGTTTTCAAACTTTTTGGCTACAAATACTGTAAGAAATAAGTTTTATATCATAATCCAGCTTACACATATAGAGGTATGTGTGTATATATAACTGAATCGATTTTCCCAGAACTGTATTTACCTTCACTACATGGGAGCTGCTAAACTGATTTCACAATTGACAACTTATTAAAGCACTCTTTTTAAAGGTTTCCTGCTTTTTTTTTTTTCTTTAAAAAAATTTTTGGCCACATTATGTGGTATGTGGGATCTTAGTTCCCTGACCAGGGACTGAACCCACTCTCCTGCATTGGAAGTGTTCAGTTTTAACCACTGGACTGCCAGGGAAGCTCTAAGGTTTCCTACTTTAAGCACTCATAAGTGTTCCTATAAATTGTCTTGAAAGTGGTAGGCTACAGTTAGAGTTTAACATACAGTAAAATTCACAGTAAAATTCGTCAGCATAGTTGGTGTGTTTACAAACTTCTACTTGGATTCGATACTGAACTTGTACTCTGTTAACTTTATGCTTCAACAAAGCAACCATTTTGGAAATATTTCAGGTTTTTATTGACATGTAATCACATTTGCTTATTTGTCACATACAATTTTAACAATACTATGCAGATCTGAATTATAATAAAATGTGTGAGCATGTTTATAGTCCATGTATATAGTTTTCGTCTGTTCCAAAGTAGTAGACAAACCATGGCAAAGTACAGAGAGAAATTTGACTCAGGGTTTAAAATATACAATGAAGGTAAGACATCTGCTTCCAGCTAAGATGGAGTACCTTGTGGTAGACTAATACTCATGCTGAGAACAACTGAAAAAAGTCTGTTGCCTAGCATTAGATAGCTTCCCAGGAAAATTGGAATTTGGGGGCCTAGATCCTTCAGAGAAAAGAATTACAGATTGGTGAATCTATATGTGTGAGATGTTTTCCTCTGAGTAGGAATTTGTCAGTTTTTGTTGTAGGACAAGAAATCTAGATTCTGGGCAGAGGGCCACACTTAAGAGTCAGAAAAGCCAGAGAAAAGCTTTTAGAAATCTTATAAGGTTATAGAGACAAAAGTTGGAGTTTGGAATTGCCAAGGCTTGAGGGACCATGATCCAAACATATAGAGAAGTGAGCCTGAAACTCAGAGGTTTTCCCTTTAAGGTGTTTTCTGAATTCTTAAGCTGCACGGGTCAAGAGGCTAAGAAGCTAACAGAAACGCAGATTATTTTGCAGTCTCACAGTGTCAAAGAAAGAAAAATTGGAGTTGTATGAAAAGAAAGAGTGTACTGATTGACTAAAAGAACTCAGCACAGACTGCTTGCAGGTTGAAGGAGAGACTGGGGTATACAGTGTTGGGCTCGGCAAGGAGCATGGGGCAGGAGAAGGAAAGGACGAAAAGGAGATTTACGTGAAAAGTTTCCAGGCTCAGAGATAATAGCTGGCATTTTTCTTTTATCTGAAGTACTTCAAATAATCTTAAAGATAAGCCATTTTTTCCCAGTCACATAAAATAGTAATGAAATACAATATCAGAATACACTATTGAAGTAAATAAAAAAGGTCACTAATCTTGGGCCACTCGGTGTGCCTCTGCCTTTAGCTGTGACATCAGTAGTCAGTTTAACTTCTCTAAAGTTTACATAAACACGAGAGCATCCTTATGCTTCAGAAATTAGTGACAACTCTAATTCATATCAAATCAATATATTTTCTAGTGGTACCTGGTAAATGTTTAATACACAGAATCTTTCCCCTTTCTCCTTTGCCCACAGCCCATCTTTACATGAAGAGATTTTTTTAAAGGAAAGGGAAGCAGTAACCTGTAGCCACTGCCTTCATTCTTCCCAATTATTTGGCGGGGTGGGGAGGGTGGGGTGGGGGGCAGATTCCAAGTGGAAGAGGATTGAAATGAACTTCTCACTTCTTTATATTCTCAGCATTAACAAGAATTCCCTTGCCTCCCAACTCTCGTAATTTTGCTTGTAAAACTTGAGGAAAAGAAAAAATAGTTACTTTTAGAGAATTGGATAAATATATTTGAAGGTGTTTGAATGTATTTGCAGTCAAAAATTATCTTCCATGTAGTATGATCCAGAGCTGTCCTCTCGACAATTTGGGGTTGAATTATCCCGTTTGACCAGTGAAGACCGAACTGTTCCTTTGGTGGTGGAAAAGCTCATAAACTACATTGAAATGCATGGACTGTACACAGAAGGTATTTATCGAAAGTCTGGTTCAACTAATAAAATCAAGGAGCTTCGACAAGGTCTAGATACAGGTAAGATAGTGCCCTCTAAATCAAGACCAAATACTCTTATTTAAGTAGGTCATCTTATGCTGTTAGTTTTTATTACATGTTGATCCTTTCCTTGAAGCCAGAAAAATGCAGTCTTTTCTGTGGTGCTTGTTTTTTTTTTTTTTAATCATTTGTAGCTTTCTTTTTATGGTCCATTCAGCAAACTATACATTGAGTATCATTTGTACAAGGCATTATTAGATATTTCAGACAGATCTCAATCTTTTTAGCAGTCTGGTAAGATCATATCTTTAATTTACAAAGAAGAAAACTTAGGTTTAGAAAAATTAATGAGCTATTGATAAGATGCCGGGCAATCTGCTGATGTTTTTGTATTAACCTTCACAACAAATCTTTGTACTGATGTTCACAAACAGTGATTATTTTCCCTGTTTACAGATGAAGAAATTGAGGCTTATCGAGGATCTTGCCCACTGATTTACCACCAATAAGTGACAAAGCTGGCATTTAACCCATAATCTAAACTGTTGCCTGTTAGTCTCTGTTACTCTGACTCCAAGTGATGTCTTTCTGGTGTATATTCTTGCCTTCCTACATTGACGACATAGTTATTTAAATTGATAATTAGCGGTTTGAATATGTGTCTGTGTAGAGCTGTAGCCTCAGTTCTGGAACATATGCAGGGGTTTGACTTTGGCTTTGTGTTCAACTTCTGCTCTTTATCATTATTGAAAAGGGATACTTTTTTTTTTTTTTTTTGCTGCACTGCACAGCTTGTGGGATCTTAATTCCCTGAGCAGGGATTGAACCTGGGCCCTCGGCTGAAAGCATGGAGTCCTAACCACTGGCTGCTGCAGCTGCTAAGTCGCTTCAGTCATGTCCGACTCTGTGCAACTCCATAGACGGCAGCCCACCAGGCTCCTCTGTCCCAAGAATTCCCAGGAATAGATCTTTTTGAATCACTTATAGGTGCAACCCTTGTCTCTATGTGACTAAGAGTCTACCCAAAGGCCCCATTCATCCTATATCACCCCAGTCATTTCATGTATAACCCTAGAGGGTTTTTAAATGAAGCACAGTCAAGATTTTCTTCACATTTCATAAGCTCAGTTATCACTGTCCTTTGATCTCTAAGAATCACTTAAAATCAGTCTGACTTGTAGAAGATGTCTTTTAGGCCTTTCTTCTATTGGTCATCTAAAACATCACTACTAAAAGGGTGGTCACAGGCCAGGCCACAGAAAGAGAAGTACAGAAATTGAGAGCAAGCATTTAGAAACTTTGATAGCAGTTTAATAGTGCCTTGACATGAAAACATGTGATCTTTTATTTTACACATCTATCAGTCCACAACAGTTCAAAAAAGAGACAAAAGCTGTACCTTTACCACAAGAGGAACACTGTTCCAAAGCATGGAATTAGATTGCAGACGATATTAATAGTTTGAGAATGTAAAGACATCTTTTGGTCATGATAGTTTCTAAAGTGCATTATTTGACCCTCTGCATATTTTGGCTTTCTTATCTAACTCTTTATCTCTGAACAGATGCTGAGAATGTAAACCTCGATGACTATAACATACATGTCATTGCGAGTGTATTCAAACAATGGCTTCGTGATTTACCCAATCCACTCATGACCTTTGAACTCTATGAGGAATTTCTTCGAGCTATGGGTAAGCACAGGTTTCCTGGGTTCAGGGAAGGGCTACACTTGGGAAAGAAATGCTGTCTTCATATTAGATTGTTTAGCCATTCTCTCAACTGGCTTAAGTTCATATAGATTCAAAAGTAATACAGTCAATATAAAACTGCCATTGAATTCTCACCTATTCAAATGTTGCCTTTCTTAGAGACTCATTAAAATATCAGTGTCCTAAAAACTTTCTGAGCAAGTCACTTAGTTGCTTCTCACAAAGAGGTTGAAAGACTAGGATTGTAAACAAATTAAATTGTGAATCTAAGCAAGAACTCAGTGTAACGCTGGCTATCTATTCTGTGCCATACCTAACATGTTAGTTTAGTTTTTCAGTGCTACAGATACGTAGGATTTTGATGAAGGCCCATCTAGAAGTATTCATTTAGGCCCCAAGGCATGGCTCCTCAAATTCCCTTAAGACTGATTTACAGCTTAGGTTGAAAGCAAAATGAGAAGAGGGCAGCAGAGGATGAGATGGTTGGATGGCATCACCAACTCAATGGACATGAGTTTGAACAAACTTTAGGAGATAGTGAATAACAGGGAAGCCTGGCATGGTGCAGTTCATGGGGTTGCAAAGAGTTGGACACAACTCAATGACTGAACATCAACAACAGATAACTTATATAGCAATTGATTAATTTTAATGGGGAATTGGTTTGCCACAAAATGAAAAACTGGGGTATCTCTTGCCCCTTGCTGTAATCAAGAGTTACTCGGATCTAAATTAAAACTCAGGAGACTGCTTAGTGAGTACAGAACTCAAGCAGAGGGAGATTAGTGTTAACTCGTGAGTTTTCTTCTGCTATACAGGTGTGGCTAAAACTCTTAAAAGTCAGCTGTACCCAGTATCTGTCCAGAAGGAAGATGTAGTATATAAGAGAAGGTATTCAGTCTTAATTGCCACTCTTACTGTTTTCAGGCCTTCAGGAGAGGAAAGAGACAATCCGTGGTGTATACTCTGTCATTGACCAGCTCTCCCGAACTCATCTCAATACACTGGAACGCCTCATCTTTCATCTGGTCAGGTAACTTCAAGAAACAAAGGAATGCTTGACATTTTCTCTTGGATTATTTTTAAATAAATGAAGGGTTCCTTCATATGAAAAACTGATTTTTTTTGTTATTAATAAAGTCGATGACTTGCACAGGTGGTTATGATTCCTTGAAGGAGAAATTCTCCATGGAGTTGGACTGCGTGGCAGGTGCTTCTCTGCCCTAATGAGCCATGTAACCATTCAGTCTTATGGGGGCACTGTGTAGCCTAGCTAGATGTCTTAACTCTTGAACTAGAGAAGATGTGTGCTTATTGACATAGCCTAATTCATAGGAGGTGGTGGGGTCATATGGAGCTCAGGAATTGACTGACCAAAGAGACTTCAGGGGCAGTCTGTGTTCTCCTGAGTGTTGATATTGGGGAAGAAAGCTATCTTTCTCTTTGGGTAAATATCTTTTACTACTGTCTGAAAATGCCTGAAGGTCTGTACTCTGCATTCTTTAGACATGTTCATCTAGTAATGGTGACCTGGGACAGTGAGTCACAAATTTCCCTTGGTCAGCTATCTGCTGACCTCAGTTACTTCAGGGAAGGAACAGAGTGAAATTACGCTTCCCAGAGGCAAGGGAACGGCTCTGGGAAAATTCCACAGTGTCTCAACTGATAATATCCTTCCAGTCCTATGCAGCTGATGTCATTTGTCTTTCTCTCATCACTTCTATCTCCCTGCAGTTTTCCTTTTTTATCCCAGTTTCACTTGAGTTTTTTATTCCTTAGGATTGCTCTACAGGAAGACACTAATCGAATGTCTGCTAATGCTTTGGCCATTGTGTTTGCACCCTGCATTCTCCGCTGCCCTGACACCATCGACCCACTGCAAAGTGTGCAGGACATCAGTAAGACTACCACGTAAGGCCAGTCACTATCACCTCTGCAATACCCCCACAGACTTATGAGTCAAACAGAATGAATGATTTATTCTTTTTTATTTTGGCTGCACCATTCAACTTGCAAGAATCTTAGTTCCCTGGCCAGGAATTGAACACAGCCATGCTGCAGTGGAAGTGCAAAGTCCTAACTACTGGACCACCAGGGAATTCCCTTAGTGAATGATTTCTTAAGTTCATATGTTTTTAATAAGATTGCTAGGCACCATTGGTCTTTTTTATGCTGAATATGAAAAATTCCTTTAGATTCTATGTAGGAAGCATCATTTGTTTTGAAAGCTCTTATTTTTTAAATTTGACTTTTCTTTAGATTTGTTTATAGTTTCCAAATGTATTTTAAAATCTCATTTTACCAATTTACATATACTTTGTGTTTTCCTATAATCCAGTCTAACTGTAGTCTTGTGGCTCTGTATCTCTTTGGTCTTAGTACTTCAGTATTCCTGTATTTCACCTTGGCCTTTTTCTCATGGATCTCCAATTTCCTTCTAGAGTGCTGATTCTTAACCTTTCCTGCAGAAGGAGCTTTCCCCCAGAAAGGCCTAGGGCTTGTGTCCCAGTCCCAGAGAGTCTGATTGAATTGGTCTGGGGTATGACCTAGGTGTCGGGACTTAGAACTGTTCCTCAGATGGGTACTGAAGTGCGGCTGAAGTTGTGAACCACCATTATAAACCCCGTCTCTGAGCTCATAAATTAAGGGATGTTGATTTTTCTCTTATCCTCCAACTCTCCACCACACTTAGCTGAAAAGTAGTCTGTGACTGATAAAATGTATTTGGTTTACTTCAGCTCTTAACAGTTTTCTCTCTTTCCTTTTGTTTCAGCTGTGTGGAGCTTATTGTTGTGGAACAAATGAATAAATATAAGGCTCGTCTCAAAGACATTAGTAGCCTGGAATTTGCTGAGAATAAAGCAAAGACCAGGCTATCACTGATTCGTAGATCAATGGTAAGATGCAGGACATAAAATCACAGGGGAAAGTGGGAGACTTCCTTGGATTTTCAGTGCACATTATTATGTGTGGAGAGAAATTATTCTCCAGTTCTTTTTCACATGGAGCAAGTGGAAAAAAAAAAAAATCACCTTATCTCAGAGTATGATGTTACGCCTCATGTTTGATCTTTTACCTCTTTTTAGTTTTATATGCAGAATATATTCAATTAAATATGAAGAATTTTATAAATCAAGTATTTGGATAAAATGTTGGTGGTTTAATAAGTTGCCCTGTTTTCTTTTCCTGTTCTTTCTATGAAAACTTGACCCACCCTAACTTTGGGCTCTACTTCCTTCTACCATCTGTTCCCATCCTTAACCGTGTCACTTTTGGTGGTCCTGCCAGTACTTCGGGGATGTAAACAACTTAATCACTTACAAGAATGTGGTTCATACGTTACAGAATCCCATTATGGATCTGCTGTTATCAAATATTTGCTAGATTTTGAAGAAAAGCCTTACAAAAATGATAATTTATTCCTTCCATTTGGCCACTGTTCTGTTTAATATCTTCCTTTGTAACCAGTGACCTAGATGTAAATAACTCCATTTCACATTGATCCATAATCAATAGGGTCTAAGTAACTGGAAACTTACTGCTGCATTTAAGTTTAATTATTGCCCATTTACTACCCTTCCCCTGAATTGTAAAACAAAACTGTATTAGTGAACACCCATTCAGATCCCCAGTAAATCTCTAAAGGGAAGCAAGCTTCCCCATCATCAAGCCCATGCTTTCCCAGGGGCCCAGCAATACTTTCCACTGTACTTCATAGTTTTATCCTTAGATTAGCATTAAAGTAACTCTGTTTCTTCCTTTACTGTTAAACTGCCTGGCACAGGACAAGTGCCCAACAAATGTCTTGATTAAGTTAGTGAAGGGTGTTCTCTAAAAACAAACATAAACACAATTTTTCTAGGTGGTAAAGGTATTCAATAAAGCTCATCACAAAACACATTCTAAATTTTCTCCCCAGCAAATGAAAACAGAAACCCCATTTAAAAGTGAAACCCTTTTTGTAGTGTGAATTTTTAAGGACTCAGTTCTTAGACACCCAAGTTAGCAGTACCTATCCAAGGAAGAAAGGAAGAGACTTTTTACGGTAAATCTACTTTTCAAAGCAGGTAGACAAGCTGTGCTTTTTTGCTGATGCTGCAGAAGACGGATATATTCATTCCATTGAGAGATTAAACCTCTTTAATGGGGCAATGACATGTACATTCTAACCTTCTGCTTTCCTTTTCATGTCCTTCCTAATCCAGAAACCTGTACTAATTGCAGTTAGATTTATGAGCATTACCCGCAGTTCAGTCTCGGTATGTATTAATTGTGTAACGTGTCACAGCCACTTCACATGATTGTCTCTCACGCATCCAGCAGTTGTTCTGCTCTGTCTGTCATCCATGCCTGTTCACCCTCCATGTGCAGCCCCAGTTCAGGTCCCACTTCCTGTTCAGCCTTCACGTGCTTTTCTCTTACTCTCTTTCTTTAGGATCTTTTCTTTCCTCTGTACCATGTTTTGAACAATGTCCATTTATAATATTCTGGTTTTACCTCTTTGTCAGATAAACCTCTTTGTGGATTTCTTCTTTGGTGTGATTATTGAAAGGTGAACATTGAAAGCAATGAGGTGTCAAATAAATTTCTGCTCTATGAGCTGTGTTCTCATCAGTCTCCTCCCTTACTACTTAAAAAACCTATTACTGTTTTTATCATCCTCCATCATTAGAAATGCTTATTTACCCATTCTTCTCTGTGACTTTGTTGTCTTCCTAGAGGCAGAAGTATGACTTCTTATCTACTTAGTATTTTTTAGACAGAGCTGCCAGTAGTAGTGAGCCTGTTGATGGATTGGTTCTAGACTTAAATAATAATAGTATTGTAGAGCTCATACCAAAATTTCACACATGCAACAAAAGAATGAAGAGATGGAACACCAGTATATATGGAAACTAATTTCAGAGACTGCCCATCTTTGTGTAACCAGTTTGTTGAAGATCTCAATTTGCTGGGATATAAATATAAATCAGTTTTGCTTTTTATCTAGTAACTGCCTTCCAACCCTGCCATATCAAAATCCCCTTTCCTACTGGATGTATCAAGTACCTTAACACGTCTTGTCACTTTTTCTGTAATTTTTAAATGTTCTAGTCACAGTGTATTATTTAAGACTTAAGTTCTCTTCATATTATAACATCAGTCACAGGCTTGATCCAGTACTCTTATCACTTTTTCTCAGGGTAGAATAGACCTTAATCTGGGTCTGAAAACTTTAGGTCACACGCGTCTGCCTTCCCTCTTTCCTGTGCTTCTTTTTCCCTCTGGTGTTGAAACTAGGAGGAGTGATAGGGGAGGCAGAATTCTACATGATGTGCCAAGTCTTCTTGGTTGTTCAGCACTACTATTGAAGTTCATTGTAGACGGGCTAAATGAAGATGTGCTGACTGTGCTGACAGTGAGCTGAAGTCTATCCTATTTCCATAGGCATTGGCAATCCCTTGCAAGATTTGGCTACATCTTCTGATTGATGTCCTTCATACCATGTGTCTCTGATATGTGTGGCGCTTTTTTTTTTTGCCTTACCCAGTCAGATCTACCTCCCATGGCCAGTTCTAGGGCCTGCAGGCACACTGGGGAAAAGGTTATATTTTTCACACCCCTTGGTTCCTAAGAACTGAAGGTGGATGATAGTCTTGCCTGCCTTCCTGTGTGACACTTTGCATACACTCTCTCCCGACTTCTCTTTTCCCCTAAGCATATTATAGACTTGTAAATCAATAAGTCTTTTGCCTATACAGACACCCAAACAGAGAATGAAATACCAGTCTGCCTTTCTTTAAGAAGACTTCAAACTTGAGTTCTTACCTTTTTGATTCAGTTATGACACTGCTTTTTTGCTATAAGAGGAGAGAGAGTATCCTCCTTTCATAAGCATTATGTTCCACTCAAAGTTCAATAACGCCTCTTTTTTTCAAAGCCTTTTTAGATATATATGGAAGGAAAGGTGTTAGAATATTGATGACAGTGTTGGTTTAAAGAAAATGGAACTCTCAGTAAGCCCTAAGAGGAGAAACTGGTGCTAGCTATTGTTGGCTCCTTAAAACTACAAGAAGAGGTATTTAATTATCCTCAGCTTTTGACCTTAGGCACAATTTTGGAACTTGAGGAAGACTCCCACTTGCATATGCATCCTATTGCATATGCATCTAGCTGAAGAACAGGTGTTGGGCCCAGACATAAGATCAAGACTATGTCTAGTATGTATTTGGTATTCGTTAAGCAACTAAGGGATCGAATCTAAGAACTGAATCTAGGAGAAAGAAGTGATTTTTAGAATATTCTCTACAAATAAACTAATCAAAGTCAGTAGTATTCATGTCTTCATAGGTGGAAAAGTTGCTATTCTATAGTTAAATACAGTAGTGACTTTTCTTGAGTGGAATGAAGTGAATTTGTATGTTATTGCTAATGTGAAAAGTCATTTGGGTTGGGTGTTGAAAGATGAGTAGTAATTTAACAAATGGAGAGGAGAAAGGGGAATGACAATTCCAGAGGCAGAGAAGCACTAAACAGATATGACTACCTTGTATAGCTAGAGTTGGGCAGGTTGTGTGGATGTGGCAGAAGAATTTGGAAAGTTAGACTGAAACCAGATTCGCAGCATTAAGAATTTTGAATTCTTCGATTTTGAAGCTCTTGGGATCTATAGAAAGGTTTTGAAGTAGGGGAACGTTACCATCAATTCTTTTTGAAAAACAACTGGTAGCATTTTAAAGAAGAAAGGATTAGAGATGGGCAAGATGAGCAGCCTTTATCAGTTAGGAGACTCTTGACTTACATACAGACAATCATATGTGCCTTCACTAAAATAGGTTGAATCCTGATCATTCAAAATGATTTCAAAATCATTCCATTTTGAATTTTCTGCTACCATGTACTTTCCATGTAATTAGATTTGTGTAGTATAAGCTAGGCTGTTCCCATACTAGGATTTCAGAATATGATGTGCTCACAGTCTATCCAGTTATGTCTCTTATATAACAAATTAGGTGTTTTTGTAACTTATTTATATTATAATTCTAAGCATAAGTATTGATTTAATATTATTTAAGCTAATTAATATGAAGAATAGAATTTTAAATAAGGTTTACTAATCTGTCAAACCTCCTCACAAATTATCCTGTTGAAAGATGTTACAGAAGTTTTCACAACCAAACAAAGTTTGGGATATAATGTGTATCACTTCTAAAACTTTTAACTGTAGAGTACTTTCTTCATAATGGGTCTAGTTTAATAGGAGTTCTAAAAAAGGCATTTTAAAAACAACATTCTAGTTTTTTTAAATAGTACCAGTTGCTATTTTATGTACTTATTTTGGAATTTTAAAATTGCTCTTAAATCTTCAGGGTTTTCTTCCTGCACTCATAGTTGTGGCAGTGCTTGTGAATTTTGCATCATCTAGGCTTTCTGAAGAACTTGCCTGCATGTCTCTGTTAGAAATAGGCATACCTGCAATTCTGTATATCAGTGTGGATCTGCAGGGGTAAACTTTGCAATTGACTACACCAAGTGAAGCAAGAAATGCCCTTCCAAAAGTTAAGTATTAGTAATTGAAAAGTTAAGAATCAGTTGAAATGTGGCAGCTTTGAAGAGCTCCAAAGGAAGAAGATATTCAGGGGTGGACTTGACTCTGGCAAGGGTTCCTGTCGTTTCCTTATGTTAGTGCATGGTTTCTGAGTCTGCTCTTCACATTCAGGTGACTTGACATAATAAGAATTAGATCCACAGAATGAAGATTTTCTGAGAATATAGAACTGTTCTTACTGTTTCTGGTACTGACCAGAAGGTATTTTTGTAGTGTTAATCTTTTTTTTTTTTTAGGATATAATTGCTATATAACATTGTATTAGTTTTAGATGTAGCACATAATGATTTGATATATGTATTAATATATATTGTGAAGTGATTATCACAATAAGTTTAGTTAAGATTTGTCACCACATATAGTTAACAATTTTTTTCTTGTGATAAGAATGTTTAGTGTCACTGTTAGATAACACCACAACCAGAATACCCTTGCTCTTTCTATTCCTCTGGAACCCTCTTTCAGAGATCATGATGGTATAGGCAAGAGGCAGGACTTGAAGATCTGCATGCAGGAAGCATGCAGCACCTGTGCTGAGGAGAATTTGGCCCAGGACCTCTTCGGCAAAGTAGGCAAGAGGAGAACAGTGTTTGTGCTTTTTTGTGTGTATTGTGAAAGGAGCATCTCTTTTGAAGCCTTGAAATTGTCTTATTCTCTCAGATGTGGACAAACAGGAAAAAAGATTATGTAGGGAATTCTTTTAGATAGAATTCTATAGGAGTGGAAGAACCACAGTAATATCTGGCAAGGGTGCTTTTCAAGAAACTTGATTAGGTTTGTGGAATAAAAGGCCAAAGTTATGGAGTAAGGAAATATAAGAATTGCATGATCTTGGCATGATAGGATTATATGTGAGAGAAGAGAAGATGAAGATTTAAAAACAGTAGAGTGATCCAGGGGCGTTGAGTGTTTAGAGAATAGAAAGTAAGGAATATTAGACAAGAATGAGTGATGGTGGCTCCCTATGCATTTTTCTTTTTTTTTTTTGCTGCAAAATCTACAATTTGCATTCTAAAAATTGATTGTTAAATAGTCTCATTTCATTCTTGTATCTCCTTTTTTTGTAAATTCATATTTGAAGCTTGATATAGCTCTTTTGTATAATTCAGTTCAGTCGCTCAGTCATGTCCAACTCTTTGCGATCCCATGGACTGCAGCACACCAGGCTTCCCTGTCTATCACCAACTCCCGGAGCTTGCTCAAACTAATGTCCATTGAGTCGGTGATGCCATCCAGCCATCTCATTCTCTGTCATCCCCTTCTCCTCCCGCCTTCAATCTTTCCCAGCATCAGGGTCTCTACCAGTGAGTCGGTTCTTCACATCAGGTAGCCAAAGTATTGAAGTTTCAGCTTCAGCATCAGTCCTTCCGATGAATATTCAGGACTGATTTCCTTTAGGGTTGACTGGTTTGATTTCCTTGCAGTCCAAGGGACTCTCAAGAGTCTTCTCCAACACAGTTCAAAAGCATCAGTTCTTCAGCACTCAGCTTTCTGTGTTGTCCAACTCTCACATTCATACATGACTACTGGAAAAACCATAGCTTTGACCAGAACAGACCTTTTCAGCGAAGTAATGTCTCTGCTTTTTAATACACTGTCTAGGTTGGTCATAGCTTTTCTCCCAAGGAGAAAGCACCTTTTAATTTCATGGCTGCAGTCACCATCTGCAGTGATTTTGGAGCCCAGGAAAATAAAGTCTCTCACTGTTTCCATTGTTTCCCCATCTATTTGCCATGGAGTGATGGGACCGAATGCCATGATCTTAGTTTTTTGGATGTTGAGTTTTAAGCCAACTTTTTCACTCTCCTCTTTCACTTTCATCGAGAGGCTCTTTAGTCCCTCTTCATTTTCTGCCATAATGGTGGTGTCATCTGCATATCTGAGGTTATTGATATTTCACCCAGCAGTCTTGATTCCAGCTTGTGCTTCATCCAGCCCAGCATTCCACATGATAAGTTAAATAAGCAGGGTGACAATATACAGCCTTGATGTACTCCTTTCCCAATTTGGAACCAGTCAGTTGTTCCATGTCCTATTCTTGTTTCTTGACCTGCATACAGATTTCTCAGGAGGCAGGTGAGGTGGTCTGGTATTCCCATCTCTTTAAGAGATTTTCCAAATTTTGTTGTAATCCACAGTCAAAGGCTTTCATGTAGTCAGTAAAGCAGAAGTAAATGTTCTTCTGGAACTCTCTTGCTTTTTCTGTGATCCAACAGGTGTTGGCAATTTGATCTCTGGTTCCTCTGCCTTTTCCAAACCCAGCTTGAACATCTGGAAGTTCACAGTTCACATTTTGTTGAAACCTGGCTTGGAGAATTTAGAGCATTACGTAATATAATAAAAGTATTATACTTTTGTATCACACTTAATGCTTTTAAAGAAACAGTTTTCTAATTTCTCACCAAACTTGAAAGATAAACTATTTTATATTTAGCATTTTCAAGTCACTAAAATTGTTTTTTCTCTTATAATATATGATATCTTAAAATTAGGCATTTGATAAACCTAAGATCTTGTGTTTCTACATAGAAGACACATTGACTTAAGTGTTTCATGTTGTTTGTGAAAGAATTTGAACAGTAGGGTAAAGTGCAAAAAGCAAGAAGAAAATCACAATTTTATGTTAGTATTTTAGAATACTTGTATCTCCCTTGAACTTTTTCCTTATGTATGTTTAGTAAAGTTATGACAATCCTAAGGTATTCACAGTTTAGTATTTCTTTTATTAAGAAGATTTTTATAGAGCTAAAACATGATTCATTTCAGTATTGTAAATCCATTTAATATGTTTAAACTTTACTAAGTAAAAATGAGATTACCTTCAGTATGTTTCTTCAGAGATACTTCTCTTTTTAGACAACACTTTAGACACTTCCTTCTTATCCTTTTCTGCAAGATGAGATCTGTCCCCCTACTCTTGGATTCAATTTCATTTATTCTTATTCTTTTTTTTTAACTAAAGTATAACACTTCACCTGTGTTTTAGGCACTAGTGCTTGGTGCTGGTGGTATAGATAAATCAGTAGTCTAGTAAACAAAGATACAAATAATTGTAGTTCAGTTTGCTAAATCTCACCTTGTCTGTGCAAAAAGCCATAGAAAAGCAGAGAGCTGGATAACTTAATGCCTGAGAACACTGAACAAACTTCAGGGGCTGGAATATAAGATTTCTTAGTAAGAATGAAGGAAGGGGAGAGTGATAAGATGTAATGAATTAGCAAGTAAGTTTTTGGGTCTTAAGCTCCAGGACTAGTAGTTTGGCTCTGTTCCTTTTAGGTCATGAGAGGCCATCAGGTTTCTAAGAGTTTCCTCTTTTAAAAACACCAGACGTAAATTTTCAAAGAGGAATTTTACCAACCCTTGAAAAATATAATATAGTTTAAGGTATTCTAGTGCTGACAGGAAGAGTATAACATTATGAAAAAGAGTATAACATTGGTACTTGTTAACATCCCCTCTGAAGAAAAAGAAAAACTAATACAAATTTTAATAAAGTATTAAAAGCAGAACAGTACAGAGTGGGCTCTGGAGTAAACTTTTGTGTTTAGTTTACTAGCTGTTGTAACATGGTCAAGACATTTAATCTTTAAGCCCCGGTTTTCTCATATATAAACTGGGGTTAATAGTACCAAACTCAAAAGATTAAATGAGTTTGTATTTTTAAGCCATAGAACAGCACTTGATACATATATATATATGTATACCTCTACATATGTCTTTATATGCACACGTATACATGTACATATATGTACAAATACATATTGATATATATGTATATCAGTAAAACATTTGATATATAATTTCAGAACTGCTACATCTGTGAATATTAATCCAAAAATTCCAAGTTAAAATACTGTCAAGCATAACTCAGTGGCCCATAAACCTAAACTTTGACTAAGTGTGATTTAACTGAGGAATGCAAGAATGACTTTAATAGCATAATTCACCATGTTACTCAGCAGGGAAAGACACAGGAGATAAAGGAGATGCAGGTTTAATCCCTGGGTTGGCAAAGGTCCCCTAGAGGAGGAAATGGCAACCTACACCAGTTTTCTTGCCTGGGAAATCCCATGGACAGAGAAACCTGGTGGGCTGCATGGGGTCATGGGGTCACAAAGAGTTAGACAAGACTGAGTGACTAAACACAACACATACACACACACACACGATTGATCTATAGAAAAAAAAATCAAATTTTATTATCCTCACAGATATTTAAGAAGCATTTGCTATAATTATAGAGGTATTATTTTTAAATTCTTACTAAAATATGGGGATATATCTGTAGTTCCTTAGCATGATAAAATATATCTATTCCCCTCCCCGCCCCCAACAAGTATCTTGCTTACTGGAGAAACATTGGAAGCTTTCTAATTAAAATTAGCAAAAGGCAGTTACTCTCATTGTCCGTTATCCTCACTGTTATTTGACCTTGTTCTGGAAAAACTAGCTAATGCAATTAGATAATAAAAAGGAATCGAAGATATAAATGTATAAGAGGTAAAATTATCACCAGTTTCATTATTATTATACACATGCAAAACTTCAGAAAATCAACTCAAAAGCAGTTACAAATGATAGGGTATCTGGGTACAATGAATGATTTTGTACTACCAGTTGGATGATATAATGGAAGAAAACTGCTCACACACACACTGTGTTAGCGTGCACATACATTCAAAACAGCAACATAAAATACCAAGGAATACACTTGAACAAAGAAATCTAGAACAAAAAATGTTGAAGATTTATATAGAAAAAGTCTTAGGCCCCAAGAATTACAAAAGATTTAAACAAATAAATGATTTGAAAATGAAGACTGAATTTATAAGGGTTGTCAGTTCTTCCCAAATTCATCTATTCAGTTTATTGTTGTAACACCCAACATGATGGAGAGAGGATCTGTTGGCTTAGCTAAACTTTCAGACTCATAAGATGACCATGGGCTACACTCAGGAGGATCATGTAGAAGGATATGGGACAAGAAGCACAGCACACCAGTAGACAGCGTAAGGTCCTCCTTTCATGCCAGAGTTGTTGTAGCAGTCCGTTCCGGCACACAGCCACCAGGGTGTGAGTTACATCTTCAGCCTCCGGAATCAACCTCGGGTGCAAAGGAAAAGACCTCTGTTGGCATTGCAGAGGCATACTGTTCTGTGAATGGTGAAGGGAAAGAGGCTGGCTGTACTTTAGAAAAAGCGAGATAAATGTTGATTTAGATGGATCAAAGATGGAAAGTTAAAAATAAAAGTGCTAGAAGTATAATTGTCTCTCAGTATCCACAGGAAATTGGTTTCAGGACCCCCTCCCAGATACCAGATTTCTAGGACACTCAAGTTCCTTATATAAAATGGCATAGTATTTGCTTATAAACTACACACATCCTCTCATTATACTTTCATTATACTTATTTTTTTATTTACTTATTTTTTATTTACTTATTTTTTATTTGGAGTGTAGTTGATTTCCAATATTCAAGTATACAGTATAGTGGTTCAATTTTTTTTTTTAATTCTTGAAATTATAGAGTTTATTGACCTCAGGATGTGGGGCTGGAACCTTCTTTATATTATTATTCAACCAATTTAGAATTATAAGATATTATCACATAAAGTTTTTTCTTTACTTTAAATTTTTTTGGAGTATAGTTGCCTTACAATGTTGTCTTAGTTTCTGCTTTACCAGCAAAGTGAATCAGTTATATGTATATATATACCCTTCTTTTTTATATTTCCTTCCCATTTAGGTGACCACAGAGCATTGAATAGAATTCCCTGTGCTATAAATATAAAGTAGGTTCCCATTAGTTATCTACTTTATATATAGTAGCGTATATATATCAGTCCCAGTCTCCCAGTTCATCCCATCCACCCTTCTTCCCTGGTATCTATAAATTTGTTCTTTATGTCTGTTTCTCTGTTTGCTTTGCAAATAAGTTGCTGTGTACTATTTCCTAAATTCTACTTACAAATGATACTGTATGATGTTTTTCTCTTTCTGCCTTACTTTACTCTGTATGACTTTCTCTTGGTCCATCCATGTCTCTACAAATGGCACAATTCCATTCTCTTTTATGGCTTAATAATGCTCCATTGTATATAAGTATCACATCTTCTATATCCATTTCTTTACTGATGGACATTTAGATTGCTTGCCTGTCCTGGCTATTATAAATAATGCTGCACTGCACATCATGATTTGATATTTTTATACATTACAAAATGACCACCATTATAAGTCTAGCCTGTCACTGTACAGAGTTTTTAATATTACAATATAATTGACTATAGTCCCCATTACATCCCTGTGACTTATTTATTTTATAACTATAAGTTTGTACCACTTAATCTCCCTCACCTGGTTAACTCATCCCTCTCCTCTTTGGCAACCACCAGTTTGTTCTCTGTATCTGCTAATCTGTTTGTTTTGTTGTGACTGTTTGTTTTTTTATATTTCACATATAAGTGAAGTCATACATTACTTGTTTTTTTTCCGTTTGACTTATTTCAGTTAGCATAGCCTAAGTCCATCCATGTTGTTGGTAATGACAAGATTTCATTCTTTTTTATAACTGAGTAATATTCCTCTGTGTGTGTGTGAGTGTATGAGTGTGTGTATGTGTACCACATCTTCTTCATTCTTCTGTCAGTAGATACTTAAGTTGCTTTCATATGTGGACTATTGTAAATAATGCTGCAGTGAACATAGGGGTGTATAGATCTTTTTGAATTAATGTTTTTGTTTTCCTACGATAAATACCCAGGAGTGGAATTGCAAGATAATACAGTAGTATTTTTAATTTTTTGAGGCACCTTCATAGTATTTTCCTAGCAGCTGAACCAATTTACATTCCTACCAGTAGTGCACAAGGGTTCCCTTTTCTCCATATCCTCACCAACACTTCAGTTCAGTTCAGTTCAGTTGCTCAGTCGTGTCCAACTCTTTGCAACCCCATGAATCGCAGCACTCCAGGCCTCCCTGTCCATCACCAACTCCCGGAGCTTACTCAGACTCATGTCCATAGAGTCGGTGATGCCATCCACCCATCTCATCCTCTGTCGTCCCCTTTTCCTCCTGCCCCCAATCCCTCTCAGCATCAGGGTCTTTTCCAACAAGTCAGCTCTTCGCATCAGGTGGCCAAAGTATTGGAGATTCAGCTTCAGCATCAGTTCACCAACACTTACATGCTATCTTTTGGATAATAACGATTCTGACAGGTGTGAGGTGATACCTCATTGTAGTTTTGATTTGCATTTCTCTGATGATAGTGATGTCCAGCATCTTTTCATGTGTCTTTAGGCCGTCTATATGTTGTCTTTGGAAAAAATGTCTTTGCGGGTGCTCTGCTCATTTTTTAATTAGGTTGTTTGTTATTTGAAGTTGAGTTGTATGAGTTCTTTGAGTATTTTGTATATTAACTCCTTGTTAGATACATGATGTGCAAATATCTTCTGGCATTCAGTAGGCTACCTTTTAATTTTGTTGATAGTTTCTTTTGCTGTACAAAAGCTTTTTATTTTGATGTAGTATCATTTGTTTATTTTTGCTTTTGTTTCCCTTGCCTGAGGAGACATAGCCAAAAAAATATTGTTAACACCAGTGTCAAAGAGTGTACTTCCTATGTTTTCTTCTAGGAGTTTCAGGTCTTACATTTATGGCTTTAATGCATTTTGTATTTATTTTTGTACATGGTTTGAGAAAGTTTTATTCTTTTGCTTATAACTGTCCAGTTGTCCCAACAATTTGTTGAAGAAGCTGTCTTTTCCTGTTGTATATCCTTGCCTTCTTTGTTGTAGATTAATTAACTATAAGCATGAGTTTCTGGGTACTCTATATCTGTTCTATTGATCTGTATGTCTGTTTTCCAGTACCAAACTGTTTTGATCATTGTAGCTTTGCAGTATATTTTGAAATTAGGGAATGTGATACTTCCAGTTCTGTTTTTCTTTCTTGAGATTGGTTTGGCTATTTGGAATATTCTGTGTTTTCATACAAATTTTAGAATTATTTGTTCTAGTTCTGTGAAAAATTTCTTAGGTGTTTTGATAGGTATTATACTGAATCTGTAGATTGCCTTGGATAGTGTGGTGACATTAACAATATTAATTCTTCCAGTCCATGAACATGCTATTTGGTTGGCCAAAAAGTTCTTTGGTTTTTTAAGTAAAAATAAAAGGCACATCTTTAATTTTCACCAAAAACTTTATTGAACAACACATTTACCATTTTGTTCCACTACTTTTTGCCATTTTACAGGCAACTTCATAATTCCATTTTGCCAAAACTTGTTATCTTCTTGAGCAAAGATTCCAGATGTTTTTTCATGAAGTGCTGCCTTCAGGTGGTCTCGTTGGGAGCAGTACTTATTGGAATTAATGGTTTTCTAGAAGGAGTTCAGTATAGAGCACTCCCTTCCAGTCCTACTGTATACACTACATCACCTTCTTTGGATGAAGACCAGCATTTGGTATGGTGGTGGTGGTTCATTTCACTTGTCCCACAAACTCTTCCATCCCACATTATTGTACAGTGTACACTTTTCATCATCCATCACAATTTGTTTTAAAAACTGCATGTTTTCTTTATGTTTTAGGAGAGAATTGCATGCAGAAATACAGTCAAGAAGGTTTTTGTTTTTTTTTGCTTAACTTATGTGGAACCCAAACATAAAAGTGATTTGCCAAGCTGGTGCAAATGATTTCCAGTGTTTGATTTAGATATTTGAGTATGTCAGCTATCTCCTGCATGGTGTAACTTGATTGTTCTCGGTTAATGTGTTTGATCACTGTCTACTTCAGCTGGTCTGCCTAACTATAGAGCTTAACTGCCCTTTCAGATGAAAAAGGTTATCACCTCTACCTTTTCTACAAAAATGGAAACAAATACATAATGGGAGGTGGAAAAGGATACATCTTTAAGGGAAAAAATAGAAACAAAATGAAAAAGGGGAGCAAAAGGAAAACAGACTGAAGTGGCTTCCCAAGAAATTAAAAACACTCACCTTAGGGTAACACAGAAACTGAAACCAAATGTGATTGAATTAATATAATTTATCAAGTCTGGGCCCTATACTGTACATCTTGTACAATCCAGAATTATTTTTAAGTCAGTTTTTTAGACTTTTTATTTTATATTGGAGTACAGCTGATTAACAGTGCTGTGATAGTTTCAAGTGAACAGCAAAGGGACTCAGCCATGCATATACGTGTATCTATTTTTCCCCAAACTCCCCTCCCATCCAGGCTGCCACATAACATTGAGCAGAGTTCTCTGTGCTATACAGTAGGACTTTGTTGGCTATCCATTTAAAATACAGCAGTGTATACATATTGCATTTTTTAAAATGCACTCCTTTAGCAGTCTAAAGACGTGTTTTGGCTTTTTCTTTCTTCTCCCAGTTGCTCAGTTCAGTCGCTCAGTCCTGTCCGACTTTTTGCAACCCCTTGAATCACAGCACGCCAGGCCTCCCTGTCCATCACAAACTCCCGGAGTCCACTCAAACTCATGTCCATCGAGTCGGTGATGCCATCCAGCCATCTCATCCTCTGTCGTCCCCTTCTCCTCCTGCCCCCAATCCCTCCCAGCATCAGGGTCTTTTCCAATGAGTCAACTCTTCACATCAGGTGACCAAAGTATTGGAGTTTCAGCATCAGTCCTTCCAATGAACACCCAGGACTGATCTCCTTTAGGATGGACTGGTTGGATCTCCTTGCAGTCCAAGGGACTCTCAAGAGTCTTCTCCAACACCACAGTTCAAAAGCATCAATTCTT